CTGGATTGAAGAAGTGCATACCGATAATTTCAGCTCCGGATCCGTCGTAGCGCTTTGCGCCGAGTTCGGCGATCGACATGGAACTGGTGTTGCTGGCGATCACGGTGCGTTCTCCGGCAACGGTTTCCGCAGCGGCGAGCACCTCGACCTTGAGGGCCGTAATTTCGCGGACCGCCTCGATCGATCGGGTCGAGCGACGGGGGTAAAGGAGCTCACGTGCGCCTACGCCGACGCTCGCCAGCGCGCGAGGACCCGTCGCGGGATCCTGGTCGCCGAGTTTCCCTCGCTCGTGGGCGCGGGCCGAGGCCGGTGGAAACACGCTAGGAACGCTAGCCTCGGCGTCGCCGCTGCTCGCGGATGGTAGCCGCCCCGCCGAGACCGGCGAACACCTGGGCGATACCTGCACCCGCGTACAACACCGCCGATGACTCGGATCTGCCGGTCTACTCGGCGCAACTGGTTTCAGCCACCCTCCAGGAAGTGCCGCCATGCGATCAAAAAGCTTGCCTGAACTCTCGAACAGGACGGCGGGCGATGTCGTCGGCAAACGGATGCGATCCCGGCGCGTCGACGATGATCTTCGTCAATCGCAGTGCCAGCGGGGGACAGTCAGAATACGGTCCAGTTTGCTGTCCGATGCGCTGCATCGGACGCAAGAGAGTTCGGTTCAGATCACCTCGAACAAACCAGGGCCCGCTCATGGCGCCTGCTCGCGCGTCGAGGTTCCTGGCACCGAGAGCACTTGCTTCGCGATCGAGACTCCGACGAGCTTCGGCAGCCGATAGCTGGCGCTGGCGGCCGCCATTATGCCGAGATTGGGCTCGGATTACCGAAGACCGCCGTCGTTGTCGCGACGCGAATGTCACAGGGCGTAGGTCAACTCGGCCCGCCGCCGAGCGCATAGCCGCCTCACGGCGTACCACGGTGGGCAGCGGGAGCTTTCCCGATACGGTCGAACAGGGTCCGGATTGATACCCGCAAACGCTTCCTCGTCCGCGCGCTCGGGCTCCGCGATGCCAGCGCCGCCCGCGAAGTGGTCTCCGCGCCCGGCAAGGAGGAGCAGCTTCGGATCCCGTTCGAGGCGTCCACAAACCTGATGCAGTTCGTCGATCATTTCCGCGTTGATCGCGTTGCGTTGCGGGCGGGCCTGTCGAGGGTGACCACGACGCGATCCTCGCGCTCGTCCACGTGCAGGATGTTCCACGATTCGCTCCTTCACTCTCTCTTACATTAATAACCGAATATCGGTCGTTTGGCAAGGGGTGAAAACGAGGTTGGTGCACAGCTTTGCCCGAACTGAGAGATGGGGGCATTGACGGCTGGCACGCCCCCATCGACGCACCGGCCTCCCCGGACGTCCGGCTACGACCTCGATTCGCTCTTAGCCGTGGCTGTAAAGGTGTTCAACGACGCGCGGCCGACGGCGCCGCATGAGGTGCTCGCCAAGAAGCTCAGCATCACGAAGTCCTCGATCTACTACCACGTGTCCGGCAAGTCGGAACTTCTCGAACTCGCACTTTCGCGTCACTCAACGCCCTGTTTGCGGTCACGACCGAAGAAGGCGCCACCACCGGTCCGTACATCGACCGGCTCAAATACCTGGTCCGGCGCAGCGTAGAGGTGCTGGTCGCAGAGCTTCCATGTCACCCTGCTCTGCGCGTCCGCGGCAACACGACGGTCGAGCGGGCCGCACTCGCCCGTCGACGCGAATTCGACAACTTTGTCGGAGCTCGTCTCGTCCGCCGCAGCGGAGGGAGACCTGCGCCCGACTTGAACGGCCCCTCGCCAGCAAGCTGATATTCGGCACCGTCAACTCACTGATCGAGGGTACAAACCCCGAGCGGGCGAGTCCGTCTCCGACATTACCATGCGGTCGTCGCCGTCACTTTCGACGGACTTCGCAAGGCCTGATTCCAGCAGTTCTGCCGAATCTGACAACGCGGCGTTACCGGGCGATCGTAATTACCGACCGAACGTACGGTGAGATGGAGTTGTCGTGAGCAGACTGTTGGGAGAAGCTGTAGCCGGTCGCTGGTACGCCGCACCGGACGCAGGTACCCCGTTGCCGAGCGCAGTGGACGCGATCGGAGGTGGCCAGATCTCCGCAACCGGCGTCGACCTCGCCGAGATGGTTACGTACGCACGCGAGGTCCGGCGGCCCTGCACTCGTCTGCGATGACCTTCCATGAACGTGCCGGCGCGCTCAGACTCTCGCCCTCACGTTGATGGCGGGAAAAGCCGAGTTCTACGCACTCTCCACTGCCACCGGCGCGACGACGCGAGATTCCGGCGTGGACATCGACGGTGGATTCGGAACCCTACTGAGCTACGCGAGCAAGGCTCGCGCGACCCGTTCCGACAGCACAGTCTTTCTGGACGGAAACGTCGAATCTCTGGGCAAGGGCGGAACTCCTCGGGCAACACATCTATACGTCACGCCGCGGCGTCGCCGTACAGATCAACGCCTTCAATTCCCGGTGTGGGGTTCCTGGAGAAGCTGGCACCGTTCATCGCGGGTGTGCCGTCCATCGTCAAACCTGCCAGTTCCACGGCATATTCACCGAACTCGTCTTCCGGCGCATCATCGAATCAGGCTTGCTCCCGGAGGTTCCGTCCAACTGCTCTCCGGTAGTGCACGGGGCCTCCTCGATCACCTCGGCGGGGCAGGACTCAGTGGCATTCACCGGATCCGCCGACACCGCGCAGCAACGCTGCGTGCTCACCCGAACGTCGTCGGCAAGGGCGTCCATTTCAATGCCGAGGCCGATTCACTCAACGCGTCGATCCTTGGCGAGGACGCCGTACCAGGAACGCCCGAATTCGATTTGTACGTCAAACAACTCGTCACCGAAATGACAGTCAAGGCGGGTCAGAAGTGCACGGCGATCCGGCGCGCCCTGGTGCCGGTCTCGGCTGGTCGACGCCGTTGTCGATGCCGCATCCGAGCGACTGAACAAAGTGGTCGTGGGGACATTCGATGCCGACGGCGTCACGATGGGTGCGCTCGCCAGCATCGAGCAGCGCGATGAAGTCTTGAAATCCATTCGCGGTCTGACGAAGTCGGCAACTATCGTATTCGGAGACCCGGACAACGTCGACGTGGTCGGTGCCGACGGCCAGTCAGCCTCCTTCCCTGTCCTTCTCCGGGCGGAAGAGAATGCGCACGAGGTACACGAACTGGAGGCCTGACCCGTCAGCACCGTCATCGGATACGACGGCATCGATCATGCGGATCGAACTCGCGGCCCGTGGCGAGGGAAGCCTCGTCGCCTCGGTGGTCACTGCCGACACCGACATCGCACGTCGACTGGTGCTGGGCCTCGCAGCTTTCACGGCAGAGTGCTCGTCCTGAACCGCGACGACGCCAAGGAATCCACCGGCCACGGCTCTCCCTTCCAGTCCTCGTACACGGCGGTCCGGAGCCGTGCCGGCGGCGGTGAGAGCTGGGGGCATCCGCGGAGTTCTACACCACATGCAGCGGACGGCCGTGCAGGGACACACCCGACGGCTCACCGCGGTCGGCGAGCGCTGGTTCACCGGGTCAGCGCGCAACGACCGGATCCGGAACATCCATTCCGGAAAGAGTCTCGCCGAGTTGAAGATCGGCGACACCGTTGTCGGCGGTCCGCGCCAGGTCGCACTCGCAGACATCGATCATTTTGCAGAGTTCACCGGTGACACCTTCTACGCACACGATCCGGTCCGGCTGCAGCGGCGAACCCGCTGTTCGGCGGCATCGTCACGACACGGCTATCTGGTTGATCTCACTCGCTGCCAGGTCTGTTCGTCGACCCGGCTCCCGGCCCGGTTCTCGCGAACTTCGGCGTGGACAGCCTCAGGTTCCTGACCCCGGTGAAAGCCGAAGACAGCCTGACGGTCACCCTCACAGCCAAGACCATCACACCTCGCAGCAGCGCCGACTACGGTGAGGTTCGTTGGGATGCCGTGGTGACGAACCAGGACAACGATCCGGTCGCGACATACGACGTCCTGACTCTGGTAGCCAAGACTCGCTCCCGAAGGGAATTGAAAGCACATGACCTATCGAGTAGCAGTATGTTACGGACGCCCCACCGATCCGGAGGCTTTCGACAAGTACTACAACGAGATCCACGTCCCGCTCGCCAGCGCAGTGCCAGGACTCTTGACTTCACGTTCAGCAGCAGTGCTCGACGCTTGACGGCTCCGATCCAGCCTCTACGCCGTCGCCAACCTGGTGTTTCCCGATCTCGGACGATGCAGAGCGGCCTGAAGTCCCCGGAGATAGGCGCCGCTGGAAAAAGATGTCGCAAACTTGCCACCGGCATAGTCGACATGTACGTCCAGGAAGTTGTCTCGGTCCTCTAGACCCCTGCAATTCTCCGATCCCACAGGAGTTGTCTCGTGAGTACAGGAAGCATCACCGCCAGAGAGATGTTCGACGCGGACCAGGCGTCGCAGGCACTCGGTATCGAGATTTCCGAGCTGGCGCCCGGTAGCGCAACCGTGACCGTCACCGTGGGCGAAACCATGGTGAACGGTCACGGAATCACACACGGTGGTTATGTTTTCTGCTCGCGACGTCGTTTAGCGCTCGCCTGCAACGGCTACGAGGATTCAGCTGTTGCAGCGCGCGCGGACATCCGATTTCTACGTCCGACCCGTCTGGGCGACACCTTGACCGCGGTCGCTACCGAGAAGGCACGAGGCGGTCGAAGTGGGATCTACGACGTGACCGTTCGCAACGGCGACACCGTCGTGGCCGAGTTCCGCGGCGACAGTCGAAACCATCACCCGCTGAAATTCAGCCCACGGTGTTTCAGCTCACGACGGAAGTTCGAGGGGGCCGGAACCGTCGGCAAAGATTGTCACCGGCATACCTTGCAGTCCCCACGGAAACTGATGTCGCCACCGGTGATCGCGAGACGCACGGAATGCCCTGGCTCGAATCGATGCACTATCGCCGGCATCGTCACCGGGACCGGCTGGGACGGATCACTGATGCGTATGGGCGCAATCAGTCCGTTGATCAGCGAGGAAGTTCCGTCCGGGGCCACGTCGTAGAGTTTCGCGAACACCACCGGCTGTCCGGGCGCCGCAACACGCAGCGTCACAGTGGGGCTCCCACCACGTCCATCGCCCGGTCATCGGCGCAGTGGTCCAGAGCGCCCGGTTCCCGGAATCTGTGCATTCGGAATGTTTCCGGCTGGATTGATATTGAGCGGCTCTGACGCCCGTCGGCAGCCCACCCGGTGCCGTGACGATCGTCTTCGGACCAGGTATCACCGGTGTGCCGTCCGGCAGCAGTCCCCGTCAGCGGACAGATGGAAGGCGCGGGCGGTCCCGACATCGACGGTGTCGGACGTCGCGTATGCCGGCGCCGCGTTTCCTCGTAGTCGATCCAGTTACGGAAATACGCGAATTCCGGTCCCGTCTCCGTGTTCTCGTCCTGAGGTAGTGATCGAACCAGTCCATGAAGCGACCGGTTTCGTATTGCAGCGTCTTCGTCGGGAGCGGAAAAGCTGAATTCGCCGGGCGCAGCGGCCAGTGGCTGTGCCCCCACGAATGCCAGATCATCTTGGCATCGACGCCACGATCCTTCAGCGCGTCGTAAGTCGCGGTTGCCTCGTTCAGATCGAACAGGGTGTCCTGTTGTCCCTGAGCAAGCGAGTACCGGAATGTTGATCCGGTCGACGAACGACGAGACCGACGACGCTCGAGCTCACTCACTACCTGCGGTCCGATGTCGCCGGTCACGACCGCCTCGGCGATCGCGTTGCACATGTAAGGGACGTAGTTCGGGCAGCCGGGTAGCCGTGCGGGATCCGCGATGTAGCCGTCCACACCGGGATTCGCGATGCCCGCGCCGAAGAGCAGCGATGCAAAGAGCACCTTCGCAGCTCCCGGCTCCGCTGTCGACACACCGGAGATGATTCCCGTGCTGTTGGGCGCCAGAGAATACGAGAGATCGTTCCAGGTGATCATGGGGATGATCGTGTCGATGCGCGGGATCGACACTCGCGGCGGCGAATTGAATGCCGCCGCCGTAGGAGCCACCCGTCATTCCGACCCGCGGGTCGTTCGTCGACGGTGCACCGGTGTGATCGACGGAGTCCTGTACCACCGCGGTGAGCGCCGGATAGGGCTGCGTCAGAGCCTGATCCGTGAAGGCAATCCCTTCTTGGCCGCCGAGGAAGCTGACCAATCTGGGAGGCGGCGACGCCGTCGTACGCGGGAGAATCAAGTGTGATCTTGCAACTCGAGCCGCCGAAACCCAATCCCGAATACGTCAGTCCGACATACCCGTTCTCGGCGAAGTTCTGCAGAGCGGGAATCTGGTCCCTTGTACGAACCACCGAACCCGTTGGTGGTCAGGATCGCGGGCGCTGGGTTGTCCGCATCGACGCCGTCGGGAACAAAAAGTTCACCGACGACGGTGCAGGGCGTCGAGAGTTCAGGCCCGACATCGACCGAGAGTACAGCAGCTGTGACGAATACGAGCCGTTCGGTGGATCCGCGAGCGCCGGCGGCGAAAAGCCGAGGGCACAAACCACGAGCGTGACGACACTTATCGCAATTCTCCGGCGCACCTGAAAACCGTACACCCGGATCTGTTCTCCACCAGTCTGATCGGGTGCGCGCCGCCGAAGTTTCCGGAGCAAAGCTACGCCGGACGGGCCGACCTCTACTTGACCGTCAAGGTGCCGCGCATACTCGGGTGGTAGGTGCAGTGGAACGTGGACGTTCCAGGCTCGTTCGGCACCGTGATGGTTTCCGTCTCACCCGCTTCGATGTCCCTCGTTGAACAACCCTGCGGTATCGGACGTGACCGAGTGCTCGACGGTGTCGTTGTTCTGAATGGTCAGTACCTGTCCGGGCATCACCGACTCCGGCGTCGAATACCGAAGCCGCTGATCACGATTCCCATCGACGACGCTCCCGGCGTCGACATACCCAGAGGCATGCTCGGCATCGACATACTGGTCGGCATGCTGGTCATCGGCATACTGGTCATCGCCATGCCGTCGTGATCGGCCGAATCGTTGTCCGACGAATCGTTGTTGTCACTGCACGCGGTCAGTGCGAACACCGCCAGGATCAGCGCTGCGAGCACTGCGAGAATCCGCTTCATTGCTTCGCCTCCTGCTCGTTCCCCCGCAGTCTGCTGATTACCCGCCGCCTAGGGGGCCAAACAGCTCCGATGTGGTGCCTGCGGCGCTGATAGTGCACGATTTCTGCACCAGCTCCACTCGCGGACCGACACTGAAGGAAACAGCACAGATGGCCAAGGAGCAAAACGTCGAAGGTGGCCCAGCCGAAGGCTCCCAAGACAGCAGAGCCGAAGGTAGCCGAGAAGGCTCCTGCCGTTCTCTGGAAGGAACCTGCCGGACGAGCACGACTACCCGGCGGCCCGCGATTACCTCCAGTTGGGTGCGACACCGGTTCAGGTCCAGCTCGTGTACGCCCTCAAGACGGCGACGCTGGTCTCGAAGAAGGCCAAGGACATCCTGCGGGCCGCCGGGCTACCCCCTGCTCCCGGTCGACAACCCGCACGTTGCTGCCGACCTGTTGAAGATCCGCAAGGGGATCGCGCTGTCTCCGATCCTGCTGGTGCAGGAGACTTCCGCGCCGGAGTACCGGCGCAGATCGCCGACGGCTACCACCGTGTCTGTGCGAGCTACCACGTGGACGAGAACACCGGCATCCCTGCAAAGATCGCTCCCTCGACAGTGACGCCGTAGGTCGTCGATGACCTTCGGCATCCTTGCCCTCGTCGCGCTGGCCGGCATCCTTCGGTCTGCTGCTCGGCGCTCGCGTCAGTTGGCATGTCCCCGTGGTGGTCGGCGAACTTGCCGCGGGCGTCGTCTTCGGTGTCACCGGTTTCGGGCTGCTCGACTCTTCGGACCAGACTTTCACGTTCCTGGCCGATATCGGGTTCGCGCTCACGATGATGGTGGCCGGCTCACACGTCCCGGTCCGCGATCCGGCAGTTCGTGCGGCAATCGGCAAGGGTGCCGTTCGCTCGGTTGTCGTCGGACTCCTGTCGGTGGTTGCCGGCTACGGTGCGGCGACGGCATTCGGCACCGGTCACGCCGCGCTGTACGCGGTCCTGATCGCGTCGTCGTCCGCGGCGTTGATTCTCCCCATCGTCGATTCGCTGGGGCTCGGTGGAACCTCGGTTCTGCAGATGACTGCCCAGGTCGCGATCGCGGACACCGTCTGCATTGTCGCGCTGCCTCTGGTGATCGATCCGGACAATGCCCCTCGTGCCGGTGTCGGCGCATTGGCGGTGGCGGCGTGTGCGGTTGCCTTGTTCTTCGTACTGCGAGCCTTCCACCGGTCCGGCCATTGGCGAAAGCTCCACAAATTCTCGGAGAAACGAAAGTTTGCACTCGAACTCCGGATCAATCTGGTGATCCTCTTTCTCTGGCAGCGCTGGCCTCCAGCACTCACGTGTCGATCATGCTCGCGGGCTTCGCCTTCGGACTGGTCCTGGCCGCAATCGGTGAACCCCGCCGCCTCGCCAAACAACTCTTCGCGATCACCGACGGCTTCTTCGCGCTCTCTTCTTCGTCTGGTTGGGAGCGGCGATCAATCTGCGCGACCTCGTCACCCATCCGTCCGCCATCTGGCTCGGATTGGTCTTGGGTGGAGCAACTCTGTGGTTCACGCCGCGATACGCGTCCTCGGTCTTCCGCTCCCGCTCGGCGTGCTGTCCGCCGCACAACTGGGAGTACCGGTTGCCGCAGTGACGGTGGGCACTCAATTGGGGGTGATGGGCGACGGTGAACCCGCAGCCATCCTCCTCGCCGCCATGATCACGATCGGGGCAGCAACACTGGCTGGTGCTGCCGCGTCGAAAGCCGGTCTCACGAAGCCTGTTTGACCGCGGCCCGCTCCACCGTCAGCAGGCTCTCCTCCGAATGTTCGGCGTGATACGCCGCGCCGCCGCCGCGGACACCGAATAGCCGCTTGCTCCAGATCAGCCACACGACGGCGGCGACGTTCACCAGCAGCAGCCCGGCCCTCAACCACGTGATCTTCTCGGTCAATTCGTAGATTTCGAGGGGCAGGAACAAGCTGGTCGCCACCACTGCGAAGTACTCGCCCCAGCGTTTGACCATCCACAGCCCGACGGCCTCGATCACTTGCAGGCCCGCGTAGACCAACAGACCGACCGCGATCCAGGTGAGCGTCGTCGCCGACAACGAAAACGCCTGCTCGATGTGATGGACCAGTTTGGAATCGTCGATGTTCCAACCCAGCTGGCGGGCCAATGGTCTGATCAACGGCAATTCGTTCTCGAAGGCGTCCTCGACGCGCCCTTCGACGATCTGAGTTTGAACACCCCCGATCGCCAGAAGAACCAACCCCAGAGCGCGGAACATTCTCTCGGTGGCAAGAAGTCGCATGATCAACCGGTCGCGAAGCAGCCGTCCCCGCGGAACCTCGGGAGCGGCGTCCGCCGGCCCGGACGCTCGCGGTGCTCCCGGAACGAAGTTGCCGCAACGTAGACACCGCCAAGCCTGTCCTACCGCTGTCTCCACATGAAGTCGATCCCGCAGCTCAGGTTCGTCCGGAGCGTAGGTCTCGTGACCGTGCCAACTGCACGAGCGCAATGCGAAGTCCACGAGTGAACTTTATGCCGCATATGCCCGGTAGCGTGGATACCCGCTGACCGTGCACTTCGAACGATGAGGATTCCGATGACAACCACCAAGATCGAAACCCGGCATGGCGTCATGGCAGTCGACGACAGTGCCACCGACGGTTTTCCGGTTGTCTTCATCCACGGAACTCGGCCAGCCGCTCCATCTTCCGTCATCAGGTCGACGCCGGCTGGGCGGGCAACTACCGCATGATCACTCTGGACCTGCTCGGCCACGGCGACTCCGAGGACGCGAGCGATCCCCGAAGCCGCATACACGCAGAACGGTTACGCCGACGCCATCGTCGATGTTCTGACCGAACTCGGCGTCGAAAGAGCCGTTGTCGTCGGCTGGTCGCTCGGCGGACACATCGCTCTCGAAGTTGATCGCGAAATTCCCCGGGCTCACCGGAATCGTCATCACCGGTACGCCGCCGGCAAATCCCGAGACGCTCGGCGACGCCTTCAATGCCGGCGACGGATTGTCCATCGGCGGCACCGAGGTCATCACCGCGCAAGAAGCCGAACTCTACGCACGAATGACCGCCGTTCCTTCGAGCAGGCTGCCCTCGACGCCGCGATACGCACGGACGGGCGCGCTCGCAAGATCATGTTCGACGCACATTCGGCGCCGGCCGCGAATCGGATCAGAAGGCTCTGGTTGCAACGGCGTCTGTGCCACTCGCGGTGATCGACGGCGCCGAGGACCCGTTCGTGAACACGTCGTATGTCGCGTCGTTGACCTTCGCGAATCTCTGGGAGGGCACGTATCACGTGATTCCCGGTGTGGGGCATGCAGCGTTCTGGGAAGCCCCTGAGGTGTACAACCCACTGTTGCAACGATTCCTCGGCAGTTTCGCACAGTAACCTGCTGGACAACCTGCTGGACGCGGCGTCCTATGAGATAGACGCCACTCGACAATCCGGCCATGTCCGGATTATTCATCGCCGTCCTACAGTTCGGAAAACGACTGGAGGCACTGCGATGACCATTCTCGAGCACGGCACGGAAACGTGTATCGGTGGACCGACCCTTCCCCAGATACGACGCCTCGTCACCCGAAGTGCCCGGCCCCAACTCGCGCGTTTGGCAAAGCGCCGGAGCGCCGCACTGCCGGCCGGGCTGACGAGCGGATCCAGCATTTACGTTGCCGCAGCGGGCGGAGGAGTTGTCGTCGACGTCGACGGCAGCTCGTTCATCGACTTCGGCAGCGGCATCGCCGTGACCACCGTCGGAAACAGTGCGCCGCGCGTGGTCGAACGCGCCACGCGCCAGCTCGGTCAGTTCACCCCATACGTGTTTCCTCGCAAACCCCTACGAGGGGTACGTCGAGGTCTGCGAAGCGCTCCAACCGCCTGACCCCGGGAGATCACGAGAAACGTACAGCGCTGTTCAACACCCGGCAGCGAGGCGCTCTCGAGAACGCCGTGAAATACGCACGTGCCGCGACCGGTCGCCCGGCAGTTGTCGTCTTCGACCACGCATTCCACGGTCGCACGTTGATGACCATGACGATGACGGCCAAGAACCAGCCGTACAAGGCCACATTCGGCCCGTTCGCACCAGAGGTCTACCGGGTTCCGATGGCCTACCCCTACCGTTGGCCGAGCGGCCCCGGAAAACGCTGCCGACGAAGCATTCGCCCAATTCCGTCTTGCGATCGACACTCAGATCGGTGCCGAATCGGTAGCCGCTGTGGTCGTGGAACCGATTCAGGGTGAGGAGGGGTTTTCATCGTTCCCGCTCCGGGATTCCTGAAGCGCATCGCCGAATTCTGCCGTGAGCGGGGCATTCTCGTCGTCGCGGACGAGGTCCAGACCGGTATCGCTCGAACCGGAGCCTGGTTCGCCAGCGAGGTGAGGACTTCGTCCCCGACATCATCACAACTGCAAAAGGTCTCGCCGGCGGAATGCCACTCGCCGCCGTGACCGGCCGTGCCGAAGTCATGGACGCCGCGCATCCCGGTGGTATCGGCGGTACGTACAGCGGCAATCCCGTGGCCTGCGAGGCCGCCCTGGCGAAGTTTTCGAGACGATCGAGGTGGAAGGCCTCCTCGACCGCGCAAAGGACATCGGCGAAATCCTGACCACAGGGCTGTCCGAAATCGCTTCGGACACAGACATAATCGGCGACATTCGTGGACGCGGCGCCATGATTGCAATCGAACTCGTCCACGACGAGGACAAGGCTCCGAATCGCGAGGCCGTCGCCCAGATCGTCAGCTACGCCCACGCGCACGGTCTCCTTCTGCTCACCGCCGGCACCTATGGAAACGTCGTCCGTTTCCTCCCGCCGCCGAGCATCTCCGACGAGTTGCTGACCGAAGGACCCCGGCATTCTTCGCGACGCGTGTGGCCGCAGTCCGATGAGCGTCGCAGTGCGCAGCTTGATCGGCGGAGCTTGGGTCACGGGCAGTGACGGCACACTGACGGACACCAACCCGGCCCGTCCCGACGAGGTTGTCGCCACCGGAGGCCGCGCCGGTGCCTCCGGAAATGGCGACCGGTGTTCGCGTCGCCCGCATCGCCGCGAACGACTGGGCCCCGCCTGCCGATGTCCGCACGCGGCGCATACCTCACTCGCGCAGCGGAAATCATCGAATCCAACGCTGAGGCCTGGGGCGAAGAACTCACCCGCGAAGAAGGGAAAACGCTGGCCGAGGGTAGTCGGAGAGGTGCGCCGCAGCGCAGATTCTGCGTTACTACGGCAACGCCGCCGACCGCGAGACCGGAACGGTGTATTCCTCCCCACGTAGCAGCGAGCAGATTCTCGTCACTCGCAAACCTCTCGGCGTGGTAGGGCGTCGTCACGCCGTTCAACTTCCCGATCGCGATCCCGGCATGGAAGATTGCGCCCCGCCTTGGTGTACGGAAACACCGTCGTCTGGAAACCGGCTGCCGCGTGCCCCTTCTGGCCTTCCGTCTCGCGCAGGCACTGGACCGAAGCGGGCCTACCCGACGGAGTCCGAACATGATCCTCGCCGACGGCGCGGCCGGTGAAGCGCTGGTCGATCACCCGGACCTCGACGCCGTCACCTTCACCGGTTCCACCGGCGTCGGCCGAAAGATCGCGGGATCTGCTGCGGCGCGCGGAGTTCCGGTACAGGCGGAAATGGGTGGAAAGAACGCAGCCGTCGTACTTGCCGACGCAGATCCCGAGCTTGCGGTCGAGCAGGTCATGCTGGGCGCATTTCGGTCAACCGGCCAGAAATGCACGGCCACTTCGTCTGGTGCTCCATGAATCCATCGCCGAGGAATTCCTGGCCAGGCTGACCGTCGAAGTCAAGCAACTGAGAGTCGGAGATCCACTCGATCCCGACGTCACGACAGGTCCCGTGGTCAGTGCATACGCGCAGCAGTCGATCATCGAGGGGATCAAACGAGCCGTCGACGGCGGCGCCAGGGTTGTGGCCACCGCCGAAGCGCCGCAGTCGGGCTACTACGTCCAGCCGACAGTGCTGGAACTACCGGCAAGCACCGAACTGTGGTTCGAGGAACTCTTCGGCCCGGTACTGGCGGTGCAGCGGGCGGCAACAACCGCAGACGCATTCCGCTTGGCGAACGAGGGCGAATTCGGTTTGTCCGCAGCATTGTTCACGCAAGACCTGACCAGTGCACTTGCCGGTATCGACGATCTGTACGTGGGGATCCTGCACGTCAATTCCGGAATCGGCGGGCGCTGATCCCCACGTACCTTTCGGCGGCGCGAAGAGGAGTGGATACGGGCCCAAGGAACAAGGCGACGCGGCACGAGAGTTCTTCACTCACACCACCACCGTCTATCTCAGGGGCGGCCGAGCATGATCTGAATTCGATTCCGCCTGCAGCAGTTCACGAGCTTTGAGTGCGATCCACAACTCCGGACCGGTGTGGGCGGAATCGAGATCTCGGCCGATCAACTCGGCAGCCTTGTCCATGCGGTTACGCAGCGTGTGCCGGTGAACACCCAATTGCGCTGCAGCGGATTCCCATTGACCATTGTGGTGCAGGAACGCTTCGATCGAGTCCACCAGACGGGAACCGTTCTCGGCGTCGTAGCCTTCCAGCACACCGAGACCGCCGGCCGCGATCGACTGCAGAACATCGCTCGACTGCACACTCAACAAGAGACTGAAAGTCCCGAGTTCCGAGAACGGAACGAGCGTGTGCCCTTCGACCTGCCCCACTTTGGCAGCAGAGACGGCCTGCGCAGACTGGCTGCTACACCGCTCATCGGCCGGACGCCACCGATTCCACCGTTGATACTCCGGCGTGAATTCTCCCGCACTCTCGCATACACACTGCGCGTGACCTTCTCCGCAACTTCACTTTTCACGACGAACCACACACCGGCTCCGTCATTCAGCGGGGCCAACAGGTACGGCACCGACTCTTCTTCCAGGGCCGCTGAAGTGATGTCGGTGGCCGCAAGCAAAGGTCCGACATCGGTCAAGGCGGTTGCCACCACCGTGGTTTCGGATTCGAATCCGAAGTACCGCAACAGACTTTCGTCGACGTCACCGCCGGCCTGGCGCACCATCGTCGTAACGGCCAACCTCAGCCGCTGTTCGGCATCGACAACCCGCAACGGCTTGGCAAGCTCGATGGTCAACAGCGACACCGTGTGGCCCACCAACAATCGCTCGGACTGATCCAAGGCGGCGTCGGACGCCACGGCCAGCGTGCCGCTCACAGCAAGGCGGTGAATGGCCAGGTGACCGTCGTCGTCCACCACGATCCGGCTGCGCTCCTTACCTGATCGCTCCCTGATGCGTTCGGGCAGAGCGAACTCGCACCTTCCGTCAGAGCCAGCACCGCGCCGTCCCGATCGAGAACACAGACTGCTGCGTGAACGGCTCGACCCAGGGCAGTGATCAGAGCCGGCACCCCGTCGAGCAGAGCACGTGCCAACTTCTCCTGCGCGTCGACCACCGCCTGCACCGTTCGTATCTGGTCGGCGGTCAGTCCTGTCGATCACGGCCCGCGAAATGGCGATGAACGGCGTCTCCCTTGGCGACGGAAAGCACGGCAAAACCCAGTTCGTCGCCGGCCCTGATGATCGCGTCCGGCACCCTTTCGTGCACGGTGCCGGTGTCGAACGCCAGTGCCACCGCACCGGTCTGCGCGATGCGCTCGACGTACTCGTATTGCTTTGTCGCCGAACGCGGAAGGTGTAGCCCGTCGTCATGACAAGTACTCCACCGGCGAGCCACCGGGTCGGATCCTGCAATTCGATTGCGTGCGCCCAACTGATCGGCAGATCGACGTGGCCATGACCTGCAACAACCGAGAGACCGAGAGTTGGTAGCCGCCAAGCGCCGGACAGTCATCGGCATTACCGGAACCTCCGAAGGCAGTGGACAGAACTGACAGTCTTCAGTTCCAATTCTGTACATCAAGTCCATGTTCTGGATCACACGATGAGCTTAGCGTCTCCGAAAGAACTGATCGCGTCATGCAATAGGGCTGAGCCCAGATGCCCGACAGCAGCACCGAAACAGGCCGAAGCCGCCAGCGTTCATTCGACGTCAAGACAGGCTTGAAGAAGCGTCACCTGACCATGCTTTCCATGGGCGGCGTGCGTCGGCGCCGGTTTCTTCGTCGGGCTGAGCGGAATCATCAACCAGGCCGGCCCCGGCGCAGTCATCACGTGCGCGATCTGCGGCATCATCGTGTTCCTGGTGATGCGCATGCTCGGCGAAATGGCCGTGGCCAAGCCGTGTACGGATCGTTCACCGAATACGCGCGCATGGCGTTGGGCGACTGGGCGGGTTTCACCACTGGCTGGCTCTACTGGTATTTCTGGGTGATCGTCGACGTCGGCATCGAATCCGTCGTCGGAGCTACCCTGCTCTCCCGGTGGATCCATGGTGTCCCGCTCTGGCTCATGTCAGCGGTACTCCTGTTGGTGATGACCGGGGTCAATCTTCTCTCCGTCAGCAACTTCGGCGAGGCCGAGTACTGGTTTGCGGGTATCAAGGTCGCCGTCATCATCGGCTTCATCGTGCTCGGCAGTCTGTTCGTCTTCGGCATCTGGCCCGGCAGTGAAGTCGATTTCAGCAATCTGACCGGCCACGAGGATTTCTGCCGAACGGCTTCCACCCCCGTACTGGTGGGCGTTGTCGCCGTGATCTTCTCCATGACCGGAGCCGAGCTGGTCACGATCGCCGCAGCGGAATCCGCCGAACCCGCCGGAGCGATCAGGCGGGCCACGAACACGGTCGTCTTCCGCATTCTCGCCTTCTTCGTTGTCGCCACCTTCCTCCTCGTGACGATGCTGCCGTGGGATTCGTTCGTCGTCGGCGATTCTCCGTTCATCTCCGCACTCGACCTGCTCGGCATTCCCGGCGCCGCCGACATTCTCAATCTCGTGGTTCTGGTCGCTGTGCTGTCCTGCCTCAACTCCGGCCTGTACACGGCGTCACGGATGCTCTTCGCACTCTCCGTCTACAACGACGCGCCGGCATGGATGACACGGACCAACAGTCGCGGCGTGCCCGTGAAGGGCGTACTCGCCTGCACCGTGGCCGGGTATTTCTGTATCGCGGCCGGTTACATCTGGCCAGACACGATCTTCCTGTTCCTCGTGAATTCGTCCGGCGCAATCTGTTTGTTCGTTTACATCCTGATCTGTGTATCCGAACTACGCCTCCGACGCCGATGGGAACGCGAAAGTCCCGAGATTCTGAAATTCCGTGTCTGGTTGTATCCCGGCCTACCGATAGTGGTCACCGGCCTGATTCTCAGTGATCCTGGTGGGAATGGGTCTCAACGAACCGACGCGCGCGGAGTTCGTCCAAAGCCTGGTCGCGCTGGGAGTCATCCTCGTCGCTTACAGCGTGAGAAGGTCTCGTACGCGAAAAGTCGTGTCGTTGCGACCGCCTCGAACAACGCACACAGCAGTTCGAAGAAGGCTTGAAACAAGCATCGAGTAAGCGCTCGACTCGATAAGAGAACCTCTTCCCCGAAAAAAATCGAACCGGTAGAACCGGTCGAACACAGATTTTCTCTTTACCTGAATTCAAGGCAAAATGGACAGCATGCCGAGCCCTGTCATCGCCTCCGAAGGGCACAGTTCTTGGCAAACACTTCACGAATGGTTCAACGAACCACACGACTACGAGTGGATAAAGCACCAGAGATCCGGCCGAGCAATCATCCCCGATCTTCCGAACCTTGCTCGGAATGATGACGATCATCTTCGGACTCTCCGCGTTCTACAAATTGATCGGCCCGGATACGCCGCCGACCACACCCGGCAAAGCACTTTCGATTTTCGTGATCTGCACGTGTGTGGGAATCGCCGCATGCTGGTTCACACAACCATTTCCCGGACGCCGGGGTTGCTTGCATTCGGGATATTCGCAGATCTCGGGATCGCGGCCGCAGTCCTTCTGGTGCCGGATCGCTCGTCCGCGACGTTCGGTTGCACCGTCTTCGCCGTCACCGGAACCTTTGCGACTCTTTTTGTCAGCGCAAGGTGGCTTGTCGCTCATGTCGTTTGGTCGACGACCATCACGACTACCGTTTTTGTTCTTGCCTATCTAGAAGGCGACGTCGATATCACGACGCTTCTGGCCCGTGGCACCGTTCTTTTCGGAGCTGTCACACTCGTTCCCATTTTTGCGCACCTGACCTGGCGCACTCTCTACCGCGATGCCCAGTATTCGGACCGGGATCCCCTCACTGGCCTGTTCAACCGTCGGGGACTGGAGGGCAGTCGGCGATCTCTTCCGAGAGCACCCGAGACGATTCTTCGTCTCTCGCTTTCGTCGTCGTCGATATCGACAAATTCAAGACGGTGAATGATCTTCACGGTCATGCCGAAGGCGACATCGTCATCAGAAGAACCGCGAACCGATTGAGCACACATCTCGGCGAACACGGAATCATCGCTCGTACGGGCGGAGAAGAATATCTGGCTGTCATTGCCGGTGATCCCGAATCGACAATCCTGTTGATCGAAGGGATAAACGCGGCACTGTACCGGATTGTTCCGACGCGATCCCCACAACGGTGAGCGTCGGAGCTGTGATGATGACCGCCGAATCGAAGGCGTGGAGCGGCGGTGCTTCCGCAATCCTGGCGGCGACAAATGTCGCGGATTCGATGATGTATCAAGCGAAAGCGGCAGGCGGTAGCCACGATCCGCTCGGCTCAGATCTGATTCACAGCCACGTAAGTGGGTGGACGCTACGCCCGGTTTCCGTGTCCGTGGCGGCAAGATACACATCGACGCGCTCAGCGGTCAGAGCCTTGCTGATGTGATAACCCTGGACCAGGTCACACCCGACCCACTGAACGCGGCGGGAACTGCTCGATGGTCTCGACGCCCTCGGCCAACGATTTCATACCGAGGGCCGCGGCCAATTCGACGATGGACTTCACCACGGACATCTTCGGATCGTCCGGAGTCGGTGACCAGCATGCGATCGATCTTGAGAACGTCGATTGGAAGTCTCTGGAGCGTGGCGAAGGAAGAATAGCCGGTCCCGAAATCGTCGAGTGCGACGGTAACCCCGAGCTCACGCAGCTTGTAGAGATCCCGGATCGCGCGATCGTCCACAACACCTGTCTCGGTGATTTCGAGCTGCAGCAGATGCGGAGCCAAGCCCGAATCCGTCAGAGCTTTCTTCACCATCGCACCGAACTCTCGCGACACCAACTGCACTGGTGAAACATTGACCGAGACGCCGATTCCGGTCGGCCACCCCGCAGCAGCCGCGGTCGCCATCGCCATTGCCTGCGCACCGAGGGAATGATCATTCCGGTTTCCTCCGCCACCGAGATGAACTGGCTGGGCCCGATGAGGCCGCGGCTGGGATGGTTCCACCGTAGAAGAGCCTCGAAGGCCACCACTTCACCGGTCTGAGTATCGACTTGAGGCTGATAGTGGAGATCGAACTGCCCTTCCTCGATCCTCTGTCCAGCTCGTGGAGCGCAGTCGCCCGCGCCGATGCCCTCGCCCGCAGCAGCGGCGAGAACTTGCCTACTCGATTGCGCCCCGTCGACTTCGCTTCGTACAGAGCCAGATCCGCCAGCATCACCAATCCGTCTGCGTCTGTTGGAATCCTCGGGCGCGCTGGAGTAACCGATCGTGGCCCGCACTTCTATTCGATTGCCTTCGACGAAGAATGGTTCGTGCAGCACTTCCAGGTACCGATCGAAGATCACTCCGGGATCGTCGCGCGACGACGTGCAGACGATCAGCCCGAATTCGTCGCCGCCCATCCGCGAGCACATGTCCGAACCTACGACCTTGCGCAGGCGTGTCGTGACTTCGAGAAGTAATTGGTCCCCCGATCGGATGTCCAAGGGTGTCGTTGACCGATTTGAAATTGTCGAGGTCGAGAATCCCGACGAGAACCTGCTTGTCCGGCGCCCGAGAATTGATCGCTTCCTCGAGCGCCACACCGAACGCACGACGGTTCAGGCAACCCGGTCAACGAGTCGGTGGCCGCAAGCCGAAGGATCTCCTGCTCGTGGACATACCTCTCCGTGATGTCGGAACCGACACCGCGCCAACTCCAGAATCACGCCGGATTCGAGGACCCGTGGATTACCGGAAAGAGACCACCAGCGCCGCCTACCGTCGACATGCACCGGCACGACGGTGTCCCGGAAGGGGGCACTCGATTCGAGTTTGTCGATCATCTGGGCCGCGGCCGCACGTCCCCTCCGGACTCGACGCGATCTGGAGTCTGGTGAGGAGTTGCCCGAAGGTGAGTTGCTGCAACTCGTCCACCGTCATACCTGCGACCTCGGCGAGACGTGCCGAGGTGTGGGAGAACCGGCCGTTGGTGTCGCACTCCCACAGCCAGTCGCGGGAACCGCCCTCGAAACCGTCGAGCAACAACGCCACAGTCTGACGCTCGGATTCCGCCTGAAACTCTGCGAGACAACGTCTCTGGAACGAGGCCGACAGATAGACCGCCCCTACGGTGAGCGCAAACATGTAGATGCACAACTGAATCGCAAGTACGCGAAAGTGGGGTTCGGCGTGGACGATGAGAACAGTGAAGACGCCGAGGCCGTGAATGTAGATCCAGGTCAGGCTCACCGATCTCAGACTGGAGAACGTCACGGTCCCGGCGCCCATGATTCCTGCCATCGTCGCGATCAGAACCAAGTCACGGAAGACGTCCATGTCGTGAAGAGCAGGGCAAAAGTGCGACGTCTAGGGTCGCGACAACGATCACTTCGACGAGCAGACCCACGTAGTCGTAGCGCGGTGTGTGCTTCGACGGTCGCCAGCGAAGCGGTATCCATACTCGAATCGAATTCGCGAGGACAAGAAAGATGAGGGCGCCGCCCAACCACCTGAGCGTCTGACGTCCGGGCGGGACGGTGTAGGTCAGAATCACGACCAAACTCGCCATGTATGCAAGATTGGCGAACGGCGCGACGGCCGCAGCCTCGTCGATCTGACGGCGAAACAGGCTGTTGCAGTCGGTCTCCGAAGCAGGATCATGCCGACTCCAATCGACTCAGACGGTTCATCAGTGAGGCATCCCGACACCAGCGCAGGCGCCATCAGCGGGCGTCGATCCGCTCGCCTGGCCATCCGAACCTCCCCTGGCTCCCCACCGAACCCTTATCGGTGAAACGTCAGTGTTTCAGACTCGCTGCTTGTTTCCTTCACAACGGTAGCCATCTGACGAATCGATTGTGCGCAGATCACTATATCCAGAGGTCGTTCCGTCGATCTTCCAGGTCGTTCCCGATTGCTGATTCTTAGCTCGAACCACGTTTGTCGCCGACCGCGACGCGCGGGGATTCGAGCGGTCGGGAACAACGCGGCGATTGCGAGCAGCGCTGCCACGGCAAAAGCGACACGCAACGCGCTCCAGCCTGGCTTCTTCGTTCACGTCCACGATCGCATCCGCCGTGGACTCGGCGACGCCGGCGTCATTGAGAGCGGATCGGGTTGCGTCGTCGACAGGAACGGCACCCGAGGCCATGTCGGTGCTCGCTTGCTGCACCGATGTCGGAACCGCCGGATTGTCTTCGATTCCGGCGATCGCCGACGTCGTGAGAGTGGCAATGAGAACCGATCCGAGTCAGGGCAGTTCCCAGGATGCGCCGAGGTTGGTGGCGGTGTTCTGCAACCCGCCAGACCTCGGTGCTGCGTTGTCCGGACCGAGGACACCGTGACGGCTCCGAGCTGCGAAGACAGGCACCCAAGCCCGAAACCCACGAACAGCATGGGAATCATCACGATCACCGCATTGGCGCCGGGGTCCATGCCGCCCCTTACGAGGCATCAGAATGCCGACGACCATGACCAACAATCCGACTCCGGACCACGCGTCGCGGGTTCGCGGTAGGCCGTAGCTTCGGAATACCGATCGCCGCCACGACGAGCGCCGCCGAACAACGGCAGGATGCGAATTCCGGTCGGAGCGCTGAGCTCCAGAACTACGGACAAGAACAAAGGAACCGCGAAGAGACACGCCCGCCTGCACCAGAAACTGCGCGAAGAACATCACGACAGCCCGCCACTGAGTTCGCGGTTTCGCAGCATCGCCGGATCGAGCAGAGGCTCCTTCCCGCAGCGGCCAGGCGACCCTCCCATCGCAGGAATCCGTAAACGACAAGGAGCCCGACGATCAGCAGCCACACCACCGGAGACAACCCCACCAGGTGCGGCCCGCCAGGTTTGGCCTGTACCCAACCCCATCGCTCGAACGCAGAACACCGAAGACGATCAATACCAGTCCCACCACGGACAGGATCGAACCCGAAGTAGTCGAGGCGGGACTTCGACGGTGGGACGTCGACCACCTTGCTGAGCACCAGCAAGATCAGGACAACGATCACGACTTCGCCGACGAACACGTAACGCCAACGACGCAATGTCAGTCGCCGCGCCGCCGATCAGCGGCCCCCCCAACGCCACGGCTATCGCGCCTGCTGCAGCGACGAGGCCGTAGGCCGCCGGACGCTTCTCCGCCGGGAAGTTGGTGGCGACGAGCGCAACGATCGCGGGCATGATGAGCGCCGCGCCGACGTCTTCGAGGAACGACCAACCGATCAACAGGACCACGAGATTCGGAGCGAGCGCAGTCGTCAGAGAACCAGCGACGCCAGATCACCAAGCCGAGTGCGAAGGCTCGGCGACGGCCTCGTCGAACTGACTTTGCTACCCGTGATCATCAGAGTCGCCATGACCAGGGTGTAGAGCGTGATCGCGGTTTGAATGCCGGTGATGCTCGTGCCGACGTCCTCGGCGACGGTCGCCATCGAAACATTCATGACCGAGCGTGTCCAGGGTCATCGAACTGGCTGCTCGCCAACACCGTGAGAAACCAGCCCCGAACCCGCCTGGCCGTAGTCGAACCAGCAACCTGTCCGTCACCCATCGTGCGGGTGTACCCGGTGCTCAGGTCTTCGAAGCAGACCGGTCAGTGCTGTTTGAGGCTGTTCGAGGCGCTGTTTGAGTCAGTGCCGTTCGAGTCAGCGCTGTTCCGAGTGCAAGTTGATCGGCCCAGGCCGACTACGTCGCCGCGTTCCAGAGCGACCGCGAGCAGTTCCGGAAACGTCCGGCGTGCACGCAACGCGCCGGAATCCCGAGGGGCACTCAGCGCCGCTGCATGTCGTGATCGAACGATGGGGCTGCCGTCGTCCGAGAGCGCCAGCAGAACCACAACCTGAACGCCGGCATTCTTCATGGCCGCCATGCGCCGCAGCGATCTCGTTCCGAATACCGCCCTCGTAGAGGTCCGAGATCAGAACAAACATCGACTCGGCAGGACGCGAGATCAGCGACTGGCTGTACGCGATTGCGCGGTTGATGTCCAGTGCCCCACCAAGTTGAGTCCCGAAAGAACGTCGACGGGTCGGACAGTTTGTCCGTCAGGATCGACGACGGCGGTGTCGAAAACCACGAGCGAAGTCTTCAGCGCTTGCATCGACGCCAACACCGCGCCGAACACGGACGCGTAGACGACGCTGGACGCCATCGAACCCGATTGGTCGATCACAGGACCACGTCGCGCTGCACAGATTTCGACTTGCGGCCGTATCCGACGAGCCGCTCGGGGACGACGGTTCGATACTCCGGCAGGTAGTGCGACAGATTTGCTCGGATGGCGTTCGGTCCCAGTCGATGTCCCGCATAACTTCGATTCGACGTTCTGGCCGAACGATTGAGTGCCCCGGTCACCGCGGCCTTCGTTTTCTGCGCGATTCGCTCGACTTCGGCCGAGACCACCTTCCCGGACGACCATTCGAGCAGTGGCCTGCGGCTGGCCTCCGGCATGACCTGGTTGAGGCTCAGCAGCGTCCCCGACCAGATGTACATCGGGCTCGACGGCATCGAGCAGTTCCGGTTCCGGCAGCAACTGCGCCAAACCCAGTCGGTCGATTGCGTCCTTCTGGCATCACCTGCACCACCGTGCTGGTAAAGTACGTCCGGATATCGCCGAGCCATCTGGCGACGGACGGCGCCGACGCCCCCAATCCGGCTGAGCGGCGGCGCCCCTGGTCGGGGGACGAGTCGTAGAGCGCTGCGAGAGCTGCATCCATTCGACTGTCGCCCGGTTGGCCCAGCCCTCCCCGTCGATTCTTCAAGCGGATTCCCGAGCATCAATCTCCAGCGCCGAAGGCTGCTTGATCGTCGTCGCTCATACGCGCTCCCAGTATCTCGGCAACGACCGCCATTGCCCGCTCGGCCAGCGTCGAGTATCGGTCTCCACTGTCGTCTGGACGCGTCGTCCACCTCTGACCGCCTGACCGATCGCTCGACGCTCCTGCCCCGAAGGCTCGGAACGTGCGTCGAAGCAACGGGGAAGCGTGTCGATGAAGTCCTGCTCACGAAGTTGGCGGACCACGTGTCGATCAGCGTTGAGCAACGCTCGATCGTGAACGAGCACAAGCCCTCCACCGCCGAGAAACCCGTCGACCCACCCGGCTCTGGCGGTCGGCGCGCGCTGCCCCACGGACAGGGGCCCGAGACAAAGCGCTGGGCTGCAGCGGTTTCCGTGATCGAACCGCTGTCCTTGTAGTAGCCGCACCATCCGTCCGACGAGTAAACCGTTGACGTCGCTCACGGTCGATCACGCCGAAAGCCATCGCTCGCAGCCACCGTGCGCTCGCATCGCGATCGTCACGGACCATGACTGCCGAGTGCGAACCTTGTCGAGGTGATCCGCGAAACTCCTCGGCGCTGGGATCGTCCAGTCCGGTGACGGCGACTGCGTGAGGCCGGTGCAGATCCGATCAACAAGCTGTCGGCGACGTCGATCAACGCTAAAATCGCGGCTCGGTTCCGCGCACATCGCCGTATCGCAGTCGTTCGGGTCCGCGCGGTCAGTGCCGCCATCAGATGTGCACGTCGGTCTAGTGCCGCAACTGTTTTCACACTCTCCAAACCGCAGACAAAGCTGCCGGGAGGCTTCTTGCGAGCAGTGAGTTCTCCAGTAGTCCGGATCAGTGACGCGAGAGTGATGTCCGGCTCGTTGATCTTCCGAGACGACACGTATGCCGCCGCTGCGGCCACCGTCATACCCTGACAGCGACGCCTCGATCACCGAGACCGAGAATTCGGGCTTCCATTGCAGCCTTAAGTCTCTCGGGAAAGTTCCGGCTGGAACGGACCTCACTGTCGGCCGGGGTTCCCCAATCGATCTCGAGGATCCCCAGTCCGGGTGTAGAACAGGGAACGCTCGCGACGTCGATATCGCGTCGCAGGTCCAGATCGAGAGCCTTTGCTCCCGCTTGTTGTTTGAGCCGCAAAAGTCTTCGAACGTGCTCGCAGGGTCTGCTTCGAGCGGAACCTGTCGGAGTTTCTTCCGGGCACCGCGCCCAGGGCTTCGCCCACAACGAGTCTTCGTGTGAATCAGATCCAGAAGAACGTCGTTTCCGTCGCACATCACCGACCTCGTAGCCTCGGTAACTTCCGACAAATCCGGCCAGCGGGCGAGAACGCAGTGCAGCCAACGTATCTGCCAATCGGACAGCTTCGATGACGTGAGCACTCGAGATGGGAAGGTCCTCGTCCCTGAGCACCCTCGCAACTTTGGTGAGCCACCGCGTGATCGTCTTGTCGTTCGCGGTGGACAGATGGTGATACCAGCCTGGCGAGGTGATTCCGGCTCCGTAACCCGATGCCGACGCCAGGCGTGAATGTGTCCAGGGAACCCAGGTCAGCGAGGTCTTGACCTTGGACATCCCCTGAGAATGCGGGCGTCGGGCCGCAGGCCCCAGGCTCCGACCAACGCCGGCGCCAGGCTCCGCAGACGACCGCTACCCGCTCGGCGCCATCCTTCAACGTCTTTCGCAGCACCTGCCGCATATACGCTTCGGCGATGCGCTGTCTCCTCGTCGATCGGCACCGTCTCACGCACGCGCCTCCATCGCCTCGGTGATCGCATCGAAAGAATCTGCGCTCGAGCTTGATTCGATCACCGAATCCCCACCAGCGTTCGGTGTCGTCGAAACCGCGGCCGCGGCCAGTTCGGACAGAGGGATCGCCCTCGCGGACAGTACGAATCCCCTGATCCGCCAACACGTTGAACGCGGGCAGATCGCAGAACCTTGCCTGCACACCGTTCTTCGCAGCCCACTGCAGCGCTTGCCATTCAGGTGAGAACACCGCAAACGGCCAGAAGGCCGCCTTCGACGGTTCGCCAGTGGCGTACGCGAGCAACGCAATCGGCGGTTCCATCGACTCCGATGCCGCCAGCATCACCAACGGTCTGCATCCGAAGGACCTTCGATCAGGACCACGTCGGGGAAAACTCTTCCAGGCCCTGCCGAACCGAACGAGCAGATCCCGGGCCGTGGTGACGGATGCAAGACCGGACACGCAGGTCCGGAATCACGATGGTCACCCGGTGACCTCGCGGCACGCCCGGTAGAAGTCGGACCACTCGCCGCGTTCACGCACTACTGCCTCGAGGTACTCCGTTCCACACAACCTTGTCTGCGACCGGATCCTTGATCACCCGAACCCAGGATTCCGGCAGCGACGTCGCGATGCCCGCAGTACGCCGCGTCCCCGAAATGCGCAGACAACGCCAAACCGTTGAGTGACCACCGAGATCGCCTCCGCCGTCGACAGAGTTCCGGACGGGGACTTCAACTTGGTGCGGCCGTCGGTGGTCGTGCCCTGATCGCAGTTCCCGGAACACGGTGACGACCCGGCGAATTTCCTCGGCTGCTGCGGGGGTTGTCGGCAATTCCAGTGCTGCGCCCAACTGTTCGACTCGACGTGCCACGATAGCCACCTCGTCCTCCCCTCGCTGGCCGGCAACGGGAGAACAACTGTGTTGAACCGTCGACGCAGTGCGGACGACAGATCGTTGACACACGCGATCGCGATCGTTGGCGGTAGCGATCAGATTGAAGCCCTTGGCTGCCTGCACTCGATACCCGGTTCCGGCACCGGCAACGTCTTCTCGGAGAGAATGGTGATGAGGGCGTCCTGCACGTCGGCCGGAATGCGCGTCAACTCTTCGACGCGGGCGATCCTCCCGGTTTCCATCGCGGTCATCACAGGTGACGGCACCAGCGCACCGGCGGTCGGCCCCTCCGAGAGAAGGCGTGCGTAGTTCCAGCCGTAGCGGATAGCTTCCTCGGGCGTACCCGACGTGCACCTTGAACCAGGAGCGTCGACGCACCCGAGATTGCAGCCGAAAGGTGTTCGAGACCCAGGTCTTGGCTGTACCCGGCACGCCCAACAGCAGTAGCGCCCGGTCGGTGGCAAGAGTTGCGACGGCCACTTCCATCAACCGCCGTGGACCGACGTACTTCGGTGAAATGACTATTCCAGTCGTCGAGAGTGCCACCCAACAGATACGTCACCACGGCCCAGGGCGACAAGTTCCACGACGGTGGACGCGGACGGGTGTCCTGCGCGGCCAGTGCTTCGAGTTCGAGTGCATACTCACTGCTCTGCGTGGGGCCGCATCAGCTTTTTGCCGGTTCTGTGGTGGGCACGGTTACGCTGTCAGTCATGTGAGCTCCTCGAGCAGGGGTCTTGCGGTAAGTGATGGCGCTGGCAGTTCTGGCGAAGGTCTGCCGCCAGTCCGGGTCACGTGCACGTTCCGCAGCCCGATCGAGCAAAGTTACTGCGCTGTAGGGAAATCGACTCTCGGCTAGGCGTAGCGATGCGCTGCTATTTGTAGCGCGAGAATTCGCCGGCCTGTGGCGCCCCCATCGGCACGTCTGGCCGCAACTCGTTCCCACTGGGCCACGACTGCCCGGGTATGTCGTCTGGCCATGGACCTGCCAGAGGCGTCGTGAGATCGCTGCCCGACCCGGGTGCAGAACATTGGCGTCGCCGTTTCCAGACCTCAACAGGTCAGCCAACGCGCCTTGGCCGGCACCAACGGGAGTAGGCGTCGATCGGTGGCCGTGCCGCGTATGCGAAAGAGTTCCAGCGCCCATTCCGCATTGTTCTGCGCGACTGCAGCGGTGGACCAAGCGTACTGAAGGATCGGCTCCCAGCTTCGTCAACGCTCATCCCCATGACCTTGCCGGGTTCACCGATCATGTTGTTCCACAGAGACAACGGTGCAGAACTGATCGCCTGACGCACATACTCGGCACGATAGTCGGTGTGTGGATTCCGGCCGATCTTCGATGCCGTCTCGCCTCGACGCCGCATCGACTTCCTCAGGCGGCAGGATGACCAACGTGGATCGAAGCAGTTTCCGCTCACCCGCGCCCATTTCTGAACCCGCGCAGCGATTCGCCCCCGAACTCCGATCCGAAGACGTCCGAGCACCTCCGCTGCTGCGCGCGATCGCACGTCCTTGCGACGGTCGTCGAGGGCTTCCTCCAACAATGGTTGATCGTCGGCGCTCGATCCGATTGCCAGAGTCGAGACAAATGCAGCCTTCTGTTCGCCCCGCTCGGTGCCCCACGATTTTCTGAGTTCGGCCAGTGCCAGCGGGATCTGTTCGGCGAGTGTCTATCAGCCACTGCGTGCGCTGGGACGAACTTCCGTGACGCCAGACATCCGGATTTGCATCCCTGGTTCCGGACGAGCTTGTTCCACTCAGGTTTTGCGCGGCTAGCCATCGGCCACGCTCGCCGACGATCTGCAGGATGCTCTCCGGTGAGCTTCGCTCGCACGTGCAAGGAAAGCAACTCGGCGACCAGATGATCAGGCGCACGATAGTTGCGCTCCAACGCGACTGCGAACCATTCGTCGAGCAAGGTCGCCTTGGCCAGCGAGCATCGACAGCAGGTGCACCGATGAGGATTCCGGCAGCGTGAATCGCGCTATCGTCTGGAGCAGGTGTCGACGCCGCCGTGGTGGAGCCCGCACCGCCACGGCGGTACGCCCTTTCAGACGCCGCTGCTGCCAGAAGCATCTCGGCAGGATCGCCGTCGAGTTCGCGGGCATGGCCTCGCACTTCGGCCGGCAGCTCCTCGAATGTTGTCGAGGTTCTGGCGGTCCCGAGAAGAGCAGCCGAGATCAATCGTGCTCACAGCACGATCACCTGCCCTCCTGCGAAAACCGAGATCGGAGTAAGAGCCAGCGCATTCCACGTTCCGCAGACCGTGACCGGGTAACCGCCGGAAATACCGAGCAACTTCCACAGAAGATCCGAATCACCCTCTGCCCGAAGCGCTGTGCCCGATCCGTCGACGAGAAACCAGGAACCGTCGACGAACGACGGGACCACCGAACTGATCACTGCCGGCCACGAGCGCAACCAGGGATCTGCGGCGAGGGCATCGGCAAACTGCTGCAACGCAGCGTCGATGCTTCCGGAACGGCATGGTTGTGAAGGGCTCCGGTTCACCGTGCGTTGCCCCCATCCGCGCCCGCAATGCCGCGGCACCGGGATAGAAATGAACATCGGCATTGAGCAGAAACCCGACTGGCGGCGTTTCGGTGGCAAAGTTGGGTGACCCGTGGAGAAGTCGAGCAGCATGGCCCACCGTTTCGAATTCCTGCCGAGCATCCACGGTTCGGGTGAACAGTCGCTTCTCCTCGGTGATCCCGGAACCGAGAATCATCCAGTTCTCTTTCACCGGAATCGATTCCATCACACTCTCGGTTGAGACGGGATAGCCGACGTGCGCTTTCACCGAATAGGCAAGATCTTCCGGCAACTCGGACAGCTTCTGATGCGCAGCGACCAGCAGGTGCAACCGAGCCAACTCGTCGAGGACCTTCTCGGGCCAGTTCTCCGTAGACGCAACGATTCCCGCCAATGCTCGAAGCGTGCCTGCAATACCGGGCGCCTGAGCATCCACCATTCGAGCGGCTACCGCGTCGAAGCCCGCCCAGGATGTGTCCATCGCTGCCAGACCACTGCGGATCTGATCGGTGATCCACAGGTCCAATTCGACGAGCCCGCCCGCAACGCGGTCGGCACGCTTCTGCGCTGTCGCCGGGTCGGGAGACTTCTTGGGAACCTCGTCACCGCTTTCGCCGGTGTTCTCGGCCTTCTCCTCGCGGCGCGACAACCACTCTGCCGCGAAGTCGGCCGGCTCGTCCGTCGACGGCATTACGCCCTTCCGACCATTCCACCAGCAGCCCCAGAGCATGTTTGCACGGAAAACTTTCGACTGGGGCACGAGCATTCTGATATGCAGGGCCCCGCAGGTCAACCACTGCTTGATACGGCTTCGAGCCGCTGCCCTGACACAGCCCCCTAGAGCGCGAGACCGCTATCTGCCGGCATGGCTCCACGAACCAGCCAACTTGCGCGCAGCGGCCAGCGATGCGGCGTCGGGAGCTACCGACGCCACCTGCCCAGCTGTCCACGGCGAAGTCACTCGACCACAGTATGACAACCCGCTGACATCGCAGAGTCAGGCCGATTCTTTAGTGAATCAGTTCTTGACTCGAACGCATGTTCGAGTATTGTTTGGGGTGGGGATCGGGGATTCAATGAGTGTTCTGTTGTCGGATGTGGTGTCTGGTTCTGCGGTGGGGTTGCGCGGACGCCTGTGGCGGTTGTCTGCTTCGGAGTTGCGTGCCGCTGCGGTGTCGGCGAGTGCGGAGATTCTTCGTCTCGAGGCTGTGCGGGTGGCGGTGGTGGACGAGTTGTCGTTGCGGCCGGATGATCAGGTGATTGCGAGCCGCGGGGTGGGTCGCTGGTTGGCGGCAAACACGATGCTGCAGGTCCGGGACGGGAAGAAGATCGCCGCCCTGGGTGCGGCGCTGCGGCCTTTTCCGGCGGTGGCTGCCCGGTTCGATGGCGGGGATTGCTCGTTCGAGCATGCCGTGTTGATCGTGGCGTTCTGCGAGTCACCACCGAAGGGGATGCCGGAGGAAGCGCTCCTCGCTGTATCGATTTGTTGTTGGCTGCCGCGTCGGGCGTGGAGGCGACGACCACGAAGGTGCGAAACGTGATCGCGACCTTGGAGCGAGTGTTCGAGTCCGATGAGATTCCGCCCGCCGAGGATGTGGATCGGAACGAGTTCCGGATCGCGTCGACGTTGAATGGTCGGGTGGTGGTGCGCGGTGATTTCGATGCCCTCACCGGGGAAATGTTGTTGTCGGCGTTGTCGAATCTGACGATGCCCACCCCGGCACCCGATGGAACCCCGGATTCACGGTCGGCGGCGAAGCGGACCGCGGACGGGTTCACCGAACTGATCCGGCGTTACCTCGACTGCGCCAAGACCGGTACCGACGGTGGTCAGCGTCCGCACGTGAACGTGCACATCAACGCCCGTGATCTCGCCGAGCACCGGGACTGCGCCGCCGCACCCTCGCCCGATGGTGTTGCTGTGGCTGTGTCGGATCTCGATGTCGGGCACATGCCCTGGCTGGGGCCGCTGTCGGTGTCGCAGACAAGGCTTCTCGGGTGTGATTGTTTCCTCTCGACCGTGCTGCTCGACGATCACGGCGCGCCGTTGGATGCGAAACCCGGGAAACGGTTGGTCTCTGCGGAGCAGCGCGTGGCGTTGATCGCCCGGGACAAAGGCTGCGCGTTCCCTGGTTGTGCATGTGTTCCGGCCTGGACCGATGCGCACCACATCCGGCACTGGGCCAACGGCGGCCCGACGGTGATGAACAACCTTGTCCTACTGTGCCGTTCACATCATCGGCTGATGCACCGGAAATCCGGGTTCGTCGGGAAGTGGGTAATCCGCATCGGCGTCGACAACAAACCGTGGTTCATCCCACCACCCTCGATCGACCCCGGCCAGCACCCACGGCCGGCGAACACCACCTTCAAAACCTGAGGAAGAACCCTCAGGCACAACAGAGACCACGGCCAGGCTCCGCATCGGACATCAAACCCCGATACGGGGCCCACAGGCCGTGTCGCGTCCATGACTCACGAGGTTTTAGCGGGGCGCAAAACCGATCTACCCAACAACTCACAAACCTGCGGGGCCAGAGCGAGATCCAACTTGTCTCGGCCGGCAGCGACTGGATCTCCGAGCGCCTTGTTGATGCGATACTTCACGGTATTCCGGTGCAGATTCATGTGATTGGCAGTGTGCAGATGGCTTTCTCCGTGGGCGAAGTACACACTCAACGTCGTCCGCAAGGATGCAGCAGAAGGCGTATCGTCCGCCAACGGGCCTAGCACCTCCAGACCCATGACTTCGTAGAATCGATGTTCTCGGACAGAAGTGAAACCACAGCGACGCCGCGGTCCCCGAAGCTCACCACCGGCCGTTGCGGCGTATCCGGCACGGCAGCAACCGAATAGGCGGCGGTTGCCTGTTCGTGAGATCGCTTGAAACCTTCGACCCCTGACCCTGGCAGTCCGATTGCCACCCGCGCTCCGCCGTCCAACGGCACTGCCGCAGCGAGAACCTCCGGATCCGGCGCAGGCACCCGGCGACCGAACGGCAGCCACGCCCACACCGTGCGTCGATCGATGGCGGTGATGATCGGCGGCTTGTCCGCTCCCGCCGCTGCGCCGAGATCACGTACGAGTCGATCGAGCGTGTTGATGCCCATGACGTCCGGCATCCCACGTCGACCAAACCACCAGGGCGACGTGGTTCTGACTCGAGTCGGTATCCGGTCTCAGCTTCGAATGCAGCGGTATCTGCGTTGGTGCCGGACAGGAGGGCGTGGATCGCGGCCGAATGGAGGTTTCCTGCGCTGCCATCCATCGACTGCGTTCCCGCTCGTACGCGTCGAAGACGTAGAGCGTGATCCAGTCGATGTAGCTGTAGACCACATCCGAAGTGTGTTTCAGGACAGCCAGAGTGAGTCGCGCCGGAATATCCAGTGTGCTGATTTCGTCGTGACAGATCCGCATCAGATCGCCTTGGCCCATGTGGTAGGCCCGAACGAGAGAGTTGGACGGAACGTCCCGCTGCGCCAGACGCAGAGCGTATTCCACTGCGGCAGTAGTCGGTTGGAGATGGTCGATCGGAATGTCGTTGGCCAATACGTGGATGATCGTCGTGATGTTTCCCTGCACGCTGGCGCCGGCATTTCGAGCAATTTGGCGTCTGCATCCAATTGGTCGATTTCGTGAGCCATCATGAAGGCCATCTCACGCGCGATGTCGGCACTGCGCTCGTCGAGTCGTCGGGCCAACTCGGCAACCACCGCAAGCACTTCCGGCTCCGCGGCTGCAGGCACTCGGGCGAGACGCCGCATCGCGCCGGCGCCTCGCTCCTTGTAGCGATGGACTACTCACAGAACTTCCGCACCCTTTCGTCGCAGGTACTTCAGAGCCGATTCGGCCGCGTTGTACCCGCACATTCCATGTGCTCCGGCACCCGGCGGGGTCGAGGCCGAGCACAGGTAAGTGCCCGCGATCCCGTGCTGTACGGATCGACTGCCACGCGCGGACGCAAGACAACCTGCAGTTCGGTGTTGGCACCTCCGATGATGTCGCCGCCCACCTGATTCGGATTGTCTTGTGCCAGGTCAGCTGTACCACTGCTCGTTGTCGCGACGATCTGATCCCGGAATCCTGGCGCAAACCTCTCGATCTGACGAATGATCGCCTCCGTAGCGTCGCCGGCATATCCGTGTAGCACGTGCGCATAGGCGTACAGCGGATGAGCGTTCCCGGCGGATCGGGTGAATCAGCCAGGTATTGCTGACCGAGGAGCACGAACGGCCGGTCCGGCATGCGGCCGAATTCGTCTCACGCTCAGCGGCCACGATTTCGTCGAAACCACCTGCCAGATGGACAGTTCCGGCCCGAGCGCAATCCGGATTGGTCCACGGCACATGACCTTCGATCGCAAAATCGACCTTGAACGCTCCGGGGCCTGCTTGAACTTTCGATAGGCTCTCGCCACTCGGCCAGGGAGTCGATCGCCCAGTATTTCGAGCGCACCCCGGATTGACATCCAGCAGAACAACATCGGCGTCCGGAATCTCGGAGGCCAGTGCGAACCTGAATGCCGGTGTCGATCTTGCCGCCGTGATCGAGGGAGCATCGCGGACATGGCGTCGGTGATCGAACGCGAACCTCCCTCGGCAACCGGCCAACCGTAGCGGTGACCAGCAGCAGTGATCATCAATCCCACCGCCGAGGTGGCCGGACGGTTGAGTGGATAGAAGGCGTGCGCGGCAACCCCGCCGAACAGCGCCTTCCTTCTGTCGGTCTTCCACAACTTCGCGGTCACGGTTGCCGGAAGCAGCGCTCGCGGACCGAAACCTGCGAGCCGCAGCGGATGCCGCGGGACATTGACGATCGGGCGCATCAGGTCGGACGCCAATGCATCGAATCCCGTCGACAAGTCACCGAACATCCGTTGCCATCGAGGTCCGTCCGCGCCGAGTCCCGCCGCCGTCTGCTCCAGCGAGCGGTACAGAACACCGGCGTCCCCGTTGTCGAGCGGATGCGCGCAGTCCACCTCTGCCCATCTCCAGATCAGCCCGTATCGCTCGAGGTCCAGCTTGGACAGGTACGGCGAGCCGATACCCATCGGGTGAAATGCCGAGCAGTGATCGTGAATCAACCCGCGGCGTCGATCGGACCGGAGCGGGTGCCTCCGCCGATCTGGTCGGCGGCCCCGGCACCTGCACGTCCACACCGCTACGTGCGAGGTGTACCGCGGCAGCGAGCCCATTGGGCCCGCTGCCGACGACTACGGCCTTTGTCACTTACTCACCTCTTGCTCGCTACCGCTGGCCCTCGTACGCATCTTCGGCTCGGAGACAACCTGCGGATCTGTTGCCGCGCGGTCGGCCCGTACGTCCAGTGTCCACTGAACGTCGAACGGAATGGGCCCGTTCGGCAACCACGGTTGTTCGGCAACTGCGTCGGCGACCTTGAAAGTACCTCGTTCGATGACGCCGAGAGCGGCGTCGATCACCTGGTACTCCTGCGTTCCCTTGTGGATGGGCTGCGATTCGATCCAGGTCACCAGGAACTCGCCGGGCGCGAAATTGCAGCGACGCTGAATGGCGGCGATCAACTTCGCGTCGTGCAGGTGCCCGTCACCGAAGTTGAAGGCGACGATGGAGTTGCACATGAACTCGGCTTCCCGCAGCGAGTACGTGTTGATGTCGTCGCCGAGGTGCCTGATCATCAGTGAGAACAGTGCACGCCCCTGGCTGTGCATGGAACGCCAACCCAACAGCTGATGCAGAACGACATCGGACACATCTTCGGGGTACATCGTCATCAACTGATTACGCGTATCCGGCGACGGACGCTTGATGTACTGATCGATCTTTGCTTCGGCGCCCGGCGCGAACGCCCACGTCGCGGATGCCCAGTTGCCCGGCGTACTGACGCATCGACGGCAGGAACGACACCAGATCGGGCCGAAGGTTTCCGAGAATGGGGAAGAAAGCAAGGGCTGCAATAATTCCCGCTGTGATCCAGGGTGAAGACATGGCGCCGAGGCCGTAGCCGTCCCACGCCGGGAAGCCCAGGAACAGGAAGACCGAGGCGTAAGCGAACAGAAGATTCCATTCCAGCGGAACGGCCAGCGGGAAGGTCGACGCGATGAAGAGATGGAATCCGACCATGAGGATCACGGCGAGGATGGTGAGTGTCTTGTTCGTCGAGAACAGCAGTATCAACGGGGTGACGATTTCGACCATCGTTCCGGCCACGTGTGCGACCCCGCCGCCGAGGTGCGAGGGTCGCAGATCCTCCGGGAAATTCCGGTAGTGCGCACGCTTGATCTTCTTCGACGGGATCCACGGCGTATTGCTGAGCATCGGGGGACCACCAGCGAGAAGTGACGGCCGAACTTCGAGACACCGGCACCGATCCACACCATGACGATCAGCAGTTTGAGCGCCAAAATCATGTCGACGAAGGGCAGGAACGTGAAGAAGAAGATCGCCGGCAGGTACTGCTCACTACGGGCAGCGATGAAGGGCACCTTGTCCCGCAACCCGAGAATCACCATGAGCACGAGGAAGGAGTACAAGACCGTCGGGCGTACCAGTCCGGCATTGTCGGCGATTGCCGAATCGATTCCTGCGGTGTGAACGCCGGAAGAACCGCGGCAACAAGAAGATTGGCGACTACGGCGACGTAGATGAAGACGTCGAACACCGTGCGGGTGTCACCCGAGGTGAGCGGCACCTTGCCCGGCCACGGTGGAAGGCGAATCGTGCCGGGGCGGATCCAGTAGAGAACTCCACCGGTCATCGGTTTGAAGTGGCCGGCCAATGGACCCCAAGACCCTGCCAGGCCCAGGATTTCGAGCATCATCGTCCAGATGATGAGTTTCTGGTAGACGATCGGCTGGTTCCACCATGATCCGATGTCGAACCACGAGAGGCCGGAAGTCAAAGTGGCAACGGCTGTTCCAGCTGCCAGGTAGAGGAACAACAGTTTCATGATGTAGACGGTGTGGACCATCTTCGGTGTACCGAAGCCGTAATCCACCCAGTGCGTGGACATGTCACGCAGACGCTCGAGAACGGCTTGTCCATGAAGGTTGCCGGATCGACGGGAGGAAGTTTCCTTCTTTGAATCCCGCGATGTGCTCCCTGAAATACGGAATGTGGGCATGACGGATCGACTCGACGCACGTCGTCGAGTTGTGCTGGTATTACGGGAAGGGACTAGTGAGCGGGAGTTGCGCTCAGAGCTCGTCTCATTCCGGGTTTGTCGATCTTGCCCACCGGGTTTCGGGAAGCGTATCGACGACGTAGATCGCCACTGGCACCTTTACTCGGGTGAGCAAGGCCGTGACATGTTCGAGCAGTTCGCCTTCGGTGACGGGCGCGTCGGGGTAGGCAACGACATAGGCAACTGGCACCTCTCCGTAGACCTGGTGCGGAGCGCCGATGACGGCGGCCTCGAAAGCACTGGAAGGATGTGTGGCGAGCGAATTTTCGATCTCCTTGGGGTAGATGTTCTCGCCCCCACGGATGATCATGTCCTGTGATGCGATCGACCAGGGTCAGGTAGCCGTCTTCGTCGAGGACCCCGACGTCGCCGGTATGCAACCAACCATCCCTTGACGGTCTTCGCGGTCTCCTCCGGCTTGCCCAGATAGCCACGCATCACGTTGCCGCCCTTGATGACCACCTCTCCGGCAGTTCCGACGGGAGCAAGGTTCCGTCCTCGGCAAGAATGGCAATCTGCTGGCCGGGCAACGCCGGGCCGACCGTGCTCCAGTTTGCGCAGGCCCTCCACAGGATTACAGGCCGACGCACAGGTCCCTCGGTGAGTCCGTAACCCTCCACGATCACGAAACCGAAACGCTGCTCCGCGCGTTCGAGGAGTTCCTTGCTGATCGGCGCCGCACCGCACACGGCAAATCTCAAAGATGACGTATTGATCGAGGCGTCTTCCGGCTGCGAGGTCAGCATCGCGTAGATTGCCGGCACCGCCGAGAAATACGTGGGGCGAAGCCGCGCAACGTCGTCGAAGAATCTCGAAACCGAGAACTTCCCGGTGACACTCACCTGTCCGCCGACAAGCAAGGGCGTCAGGACGCTGACGCAGATCGCGTTGACTATGGAACAACGGCAGAATCAGCAGGCAGTGATCCGCGCCGGTAACACCGATGTTCTTGCCCATCGACGAAGCCATGAACTGCAGGTTGGAATGCGTGGAGCATCACTCCTTGGGCCGTCCAGTGGAGCCGCTGGTGTAGGATGAGCAACGCCAGATCGTCTGCTGCAACATCGATTCCGGGTCGGGGATCGGTCGGCGGCACTGTCGCCAGATCGTCGACGACCAACACCGCACGGCCACCCGAGGGCGCATCGGCGAGTAGCGGTGATGACCAACTCGGCCCCGGAGTCCGCGATCTGGTAATCCGCTTCGTTCGCGGTGGAACATCGGATTGATGGGCGTAGCTGCAGCACCGATGCGCCGGGCAGCCATGATCGGGATCAGCAACTCGGCGCGATTGGGCAGCGTGAGTCGCCACCACGTCACCGAGTCCGATTCCGAGTCCGGCCAATTGCGCGGCAACAGCTTCCGTACGCTCTGCGAACTCTTCATACGTGAGTTCGACGTGGTCGTCCCGCAGGCACGGCTTTCCCGTACTTCTCCGCAAGATCCCAAGCCAGATATCCGATGTCCGCCACGAGAGTCAGCACCTTTCATTCGTGTGTGACTCAAAACACTATCGGCGTCCTGCGGCCGAAGAAACGGTCTCAGGGGATCAACTTATCCAGGTTCTTTGTTCCTGAGCACAACGCCGCAAGGGCGGCGAATATCAGATCGAGGGCTGATGCAACACTTCGTGGGCACGTCGGGTCACCACTTCGGAGATCCGGCGCAAGACGGGTGACGACAGTTTCCACTGCTGCCAGTACAGCGGAACGTCGTCCACGAAGTCCGGATCGAATCCGATCAGCACTCCGCCGCGATCGTCTTCGCCGCACTGCAGGTCCGGTATCAACCCCCACCCCGTATCCCCGTCTGACGGCGTCCACGAAGTCTGCCGATGACGGAACAAGATGGCGAGGCGGATCTGCCGGGTGGCCGACCTTTTGATCGAGGTACCGATCCTGCGCAGATCCTTGCGATTGAACACCACCAGCGGCGCCTCGAAAGAGATTCGGCCGTGACACCATCTGCGAACCAGCGACGGCAGAACTCTGCGCTCGCCATCGGCCGATACCGCATGATGCCCAACCGACTGGAGGTACACCCTTGAATCGGTGACGCAAACCGACGTGACGGCAGCCATGACCGAACCGTCGCGCAGCAGGTCGGTGGTGTGGTCTTGATCGTCGAGATGAAAATCGAAACTGACTTCTTGCGTGAACTCCGCGAGGGCCCCGAGAACCCAAGTGGACAGCGAATCGGCATTGACCGCGATCGAGACGCGGGCGAAGGTGTTCGAACCGTTTTCCAAACCGAGTTCTCGCACGGTGTCACGCGACAGTGCGCTCTATCTGACGGGCAAGACGCAGGACTTCTCTCCGGATCGGTGACCTGGATGGGTTTGGTGCGCTGCACCAGGATCCGGCCAACCGAGGTCTCGAGCTTTGATTCGTTGGCTGACCGCCGAAGGCGCGGTGATGTAACTTCCGCGCCGCCGCCTCGAAGGTTCCCTCGTCGACCGCAGCGTGCAATGCCCTCAGTTGCTCCGAAATCCAACATAATCTGAAGCTACTCTGATGCGTCCTAGGAATCATTAGCTGGACTGAATGAAATCTGAGCGGCAGGCTCGACAACATGCTCAGCACCAACGACTCCCTGCGTCGGCCCTCGTCGGTTTCGGAGTCGGACTGTCATTGATCGTCGCAATCGGCGCCCAGAATGCGTTTGTTCTTCGCCAAGGTCTGACGCGATCGCACGTACTCCCGATCGTCGCAGTGTGCGCGTTGTCAGACGCAATTCTGATCCCTTGCAGGCATCGGCGGAATCGGGACCCTCCTCGAACACGCACCGTCGCTGATCACGTTCGTTCGTATCGCCGGTGCGGTCTTCCTCCTCAGCTATGCAATCTTCGCCGCCAAGCGGGCGCTTCGACCCCAGACGCTGGCGCCGGATCAGCACGGCAACGGTTCGAGGCTGGCCGCCGTCACGATGGCATTGGCTCTCACCTGGCTCAATCCACACGTTTACCTCGACACCGTGGTGCTCATGGGTTCAATTGCCAACGGTCGCGGCGAAATCGGACGTTGGTGGTTTTGCGGCCGGTGCCATCACCGCGAGTGTGGTCTGGTTCAGCGCCCTCGGTTACGGCGCACGTCTGCTGACGCCGCTTTTTGCGAAACCCAACGCCTGGCGGATTCTCGACGCTCTGATCGCCGTGATGATGGCGGTTCTCGGAATCAGCCTGCTTGTCGAATTGTGACTCGGCTGCACAACCTCGATCCGACACTGCGGGTATCGGGATGGATTACCGTCCAAGGTGAGGAAGCTCAATTCACCTGTCGCGAGTTGTGACCATCAGGTAGGGCTGATCACGATGACCGAGAGGACGACGGCGGCACCGAACCGCGTGACTCCAACCGCGGACTGAGTTTGCTGTGTCTACTCGCTGCGGTCGCGGGCGTCGGGGTTCGGATTTGTCGGCGGCGCATTCCGTTGGTGTCTGATCAGGGCCGACGAACTCCGTCGGACGATCGTGAACTGGGCGCATCACGTTCCGTACGTCGGGTGGCTCGTGCCGGTCGTCCTGGGGCCTTGTGCACCGTGCTGGCCGTACTGATCGTCAGACGAGTACCCCTCGCAAAGGAAGCGGCATCCAGCACGCTCGAGGCGGTGTCCCGCGGCGAAGCGAAACCGCCGGAATCAATCTCGTGCCTGCCAGATTCATCGGCGGCCTCTTGGCGATCGGCTCCGGTCTGGTTCTCGGCCGCGAGGGCCCCACCGTACACATGGGTGCGGCGATCGGGGCAGAAGCGGGACGGCGGCCCGCCTTGCCGAACCGGACGTCGCCATGCTGCAAACATCCACGGCCGGAGCAGGACTCGCCGTCGCGTTCAACGCGCCGATCGCCGGGGCACTGTTCGTCTGCGAGGAGGTGACGCACTCATTTCGGCTGCGCACCGTGCTGCCAACACTTTCGGTGTTTCGGTCGCGGTGGGCTGTGCACGACTTGTCATCGGTGACCAACCCGATTTCGAGGTCGGCACCGTCCCGACGCCTCAACTCGCACTCTTGCCACTGTTTGTCGTCTTCGGAATCCTCACGGGGCTACTCGGTATCGCCTACAACCGCTTGATTCTGGGTCTACTCGACGCCGTTGCACGACTCGACAGGATCCCGCCGACTGTCATCGGCGCAACGATCGGCGCCACCATCGGCCTGACGCTGTTCCTCGACCCGCTGGCCAGTGGGGGCGGCGACGTTCTTGCACAGATGATCGTCGGCGGAAGGACCTTCGTACTGCCGATCCTGCTGCTGTACTTGGCGGTTCGGTTCTTCACTGGGCCCGCTCTCGTATGCCGCTGGAACTCCCGGCGGACTGTTCGCTCCCTTACTCGCACTCGGCGCACTCTGGGGTCGATCTTCACCGGACTGTCGAGCTTCGTGCCCGGAGTGGACGCCGGGCTCACGGTCACCATGGCCACCATCGGCATGGCTGCCTTCTTCGGCGCTGTAGTGCGCGCACCGTTCACCGGCATCGTGATCGTGGTCGAGATGACAGCGGTGACGTCGACGCTCGTCCCGATGCTCGCTGCCACCGCGGCAGCGGTATTCGTCGCCACCGCGGCAGGGTCGGCACCTATCTACGACAGTCTCCGAGAACGGATGTTGGAAACTCGACACCCACCCTCTGCGATGATCACGATCGACATCGTGCCCGACCAATGCGTAGGCAGAGGAGCATTCATGACCCCACAAAGTCTTCACCGAGATAGGTGCGTCGGGTAGCGTCCGGGACCTACCGTCGACCGTTGAATCACTGCGAAACGAACCCATCGACGGCGACGGCATCGAAGTTCACAACTTGACCGGTCGAATCATCGCCGACGGATACGTCCTGACACAGTGGGATTCACTCCGAGGCGTGCGTCGTGCGCGGCGCACATCCCTGTGGCGCCGCACCCCCGATCGGATGGCAACTGGTACACCATCAAGGCACCCGCTCCACTGATTACGCACCGCAAAATCTGCGACAGCTCTCTAGATCAAGGGCGTTCCGACGTAGTTCTCGGCGATCAGCGTTCGTCCGGCGACCGAACGCGTGACCATGTCCAACTCGGCCAATTGACGGCGATGCCCGAAACCGCTGTCGTCTGGCAAGCGATGGAGCATCGACGACATCCACCACGAGAAGTGCTGCGTCCGCCACACGCGGCAGCACCGTTTCGGTGTACCCGTCCAACATCTTTCGGTCGGACGAGGTGAAGAAACTGTCCATTGCCTTCGCCAGAGCGTAAACGTCGGCGATCGCGAGATTCATACCCTTCGCACCGGTCGGCGGCACGGTGTGCGCCGCATCGCCGGCAAGAAACAGGTTGCCGTGCTGCATCGGTTCACAAACGAAGCTGCGGAACTGAAGGATCGATTTCTGAAAGATCCTGCCGTCCTTGATCTCTGCGCCCTCGCCGTCGACGCGCATGTGCAGCTCGTCCCAGATTCGATCGTCGGACCAGTTGTCCACGGAGTCGTCCGGATCGACCTGGAGGTAATGACGCTGCACCTCGGGCGTCCGCGTGCTGATCAGCGCAAACCCACGCTCATGGTTGGCGTAGATCAATTCTTCCGATGACGGCGGAGCCCGGCCAGGATGCCGAACCACGCGAAGGGATACTGGCGGAAATGATCCGTTCGGATCGACGGTTCGGGAATCCAGCTTTCGCGTTTGCGTACGTGATCCGTCGCAACCGGCCACCAGGGCGCACTCGAGCCTGGTCGTTTCCGTCCGAGTCGACAAAAAGTGATGCTCGGGCGATCCGATTCGTGATCGTGTACTTTCGCGTCGGACACTCCGAACCGAATGTCCCCGCCGTCAGCGAGACGTCGCGCGATCAGATCCTTGAGCACCTCGTGCGCGGATACACCGTGACGGCGCGCCCGTCAGTCAATTCGTCGAACGCGATTCGGTGCCCTCGCCCGCCGAATCGCAGCTCGATTCCGTGATGTTCGAGGCCCTCCCGCTTCAGTCGATCACCGAGTCCGGTCTCGACCATGAGATCAACCGTGTTCTGTTCGAGCACGCCGGCGCGAAGTGTGCCTTCTACACCTCTTCACGGGTGCGACATTCCAGGACTACCGAATCGATTCCCTTCAGATGCAACAGATGCGAGAGCATCAACCCGGCGGACCACCACCGACGATTCCGACCTGGGTGCGCAGAAGACATACAGAGAACTCCTGAGGTGAGTGACGATTGAGACCACCATCGACCACGAGCACTCCCTGAACAGCTGCAATTTCACTCAGTGAAAGACCGAATACGAGCTATCCAAGTCCGCCGCCACCGAGCCCGCGTGAAATTCCACGGGCGGCCGCGACCAAGGCCGGCAGTAACGGAGCCGGATCCTGCTCCACCGGAACAACTGTCGAGACCGCTGCGACGACATTGCCGCCGGCTTCGCGGACCGGAGCGGCGACGGCAAGGGTTCCGACGTTCAGATACTCACGGCAGACGACAAATCCGGTGCGTCTGATCTCGTCGAGAGTTGCTCGCAAAATCCGCTCGGACGTAATGGTTTTGGGAGTGAACGACTCGAGACCGGCCTGGAGGACGTCGTCGAGAAGCTCGGTTCCGCCGTGCGCGAGGAGAATCAATCCACCGCTGGACGCGTGCAACGGCAATCTTCCCCCGGCCCGACCGACAACGGTGACAGCGCTACGCGGGACAAGCGCTTCGAGGTACAGAGCCTCGGTACCCTCACGAACGACCAACTGCACATTCTCCCGGGTGACCTCGTACAGGTCCTCGAGGAACGGCAACGCCACCTGCCGCAGGCCGTGAGCGCCGGGAGCAAGAGCGCCGATCTCCCACAACCGCACTCCGACCTGGTACTTGCCGTCACTCCGACGCTCGAGTGCGCCCTCAGCCACCAACTGCCCACACAGCCGATGAACGGTAGGCAGAGGTAAACCGCTGCGACGACTGATCTCCGACTGCGTCAACCGCGGCGATTTCGCGTCGAAGGCACCGAGCACGATAAATGCCCGGCCGATCAACGAACGGTCGCCTGATGCCATTCACACAGTGTGACAGGGCAGTGCCACTAAGAATCCACTGTGACTGGCATCAGGCGAAACGTGTTCAGGCGGTGCGTAGCTACGCGGAGTGCGCCAATTCCGGTTCGCGTTCGGTCACCGGCGGCGCGGCCTCGATCTTCATCGGTTCCTGCGCGTAGTGGAAGTGCGGACGACGGTGACCGATGAACGAACCGAACCACGACATCACAGCGACGTACCGGTTGCGGAAGCCCACCAGATACATCACGTGCACGGCCAGCCACATGAACCAGGCGATCGTGCCCTGAACTCGACCTTGCGGACGCGACATACAGCGCTGAATCGGCTGATGATCGACATGCTGCCCTTGTCGAAGTACTTGGAAAGGCGTTCCGGCCTTGACCTTTCCGTTCACAGTCTTCGCGGCGTGACGGCCACCCTGCATCGCAACGGGCGACTGACCGGGCAGACCGTTCAGCGAAGTCATGTCGCCGATGGCAAAGACGTTGGCGAACCCGCCGACGGTCAAGTCCGATTGATGAGCAGACGACCTGCGCGGTCACTCTACAACCGGTTTTGCCTCTCCGAGCACTGCGGCGAAGTCGTTGGCGCGCACACCGGCCGACCAGATGACGGTCTCGGCGTCGATGCGCTTCTCTTCCTTGGTCTTTGCCGAAGAAACGGTGACACCGTGTTCGTCGATGGCGGTGACCATGGTGTTGAGGACTACCTCGACACCCGACTCCCGAGCGAGGCCTGCGTGTACTCACTGAGCTTGCCGCCGAAGGCCGGAAGCGCAACGCCGGCGCCCTCGACCATGGTGACCGTGACCTCGTCGGCACTGATGTTGTTGATGGCCTTCGCAAAGTAGCGACGCGCCAGTTCCTTGATCTGTCCGGCGAGCTCGACGCCGGTCGCTCACCGGCACCCACGACAACGAAGCTGAGCAGGTTACGGCGAACCAGCGCGTCGTTGGTGGTGTGCGCCTCCTCGAAGCAACGCAGGATCTGCTTACGCAGTACCTCGGCGTCCTCGACGGTCTTGAGCTTGTAGGTGACCTTTTCGAACTCGTCATGCCCGAAGTACGCCTGCGTGGCACCGGTGGCTGCAATGAGCGAGCGGTACCCGAGCGTGTGGCGGCGTGCCGAGGCTTCGTAGACGACGGTGTTCTCTTCGGCGTTGACCTCGACGACGCGGCCGAGGCGGACGTCGGCGTTGGGGTACTCTGCAGGATCGTGCGGATGGGCGGAGCAACTTCGCCGGCCGACAGGACACCCGTCGCCACCTGGTAGAGCAGCGGCTGGAAGAGGTGCTCGGTGGTGGCGGAGATGAAGAACGAACGGCGTCTTGGACTTCGCGAGGGTCTTGGCCGCGGCGAGGGCTCGAATCCCGAACCGACGATCACAACCTGAGTCTTCTCGTGTCCAGTCGCGTCGATGTCGGCGCGACCCGCAGCTGTTCTATCCACAACGAACTCCTCAACCAAATTGAAAGTATGACTATTACGGTATGGACTGATCATGGGTCGGGTCCAGCTGGCTGGAGTATTCGCAAGACTGTTATCTCGATTGCTCATAAGTAGCTGTCCTCATGGACTTCCGCCAACTTAAGTACTTTCTCGTCGTGAGCGAGGAACTGAGCTTCAGTCGCTGCCGAACGCTACGCTTCATCTCGCAGTCGGCGATCAGCCATCAGGTCGCACGACTGGAGAAGGAGCTCGGGCGACACTCTTCGAGCGCTCGACCCAGGCGGTTCGCTGGCCCCGGCAGGATCGCGACTGGTGCCCATCGCGCAGCAAGTCCTCAGTCTGAAACGATGGCGTACTCCGTCGCACGAGACCGAGAGCCGGATCCGAATCACCGGAAACATGAGCTTTGCCGCTCAGACGCTGGACGCCATCGCACACGTGCGCGAACTTCATCCGGACCTGGACGTCGAGTTCGTCATCAAAGCTTTGCCCACCGCATGGATGCTGTGGCCTCGGTGACGCGGACATCGCCCTGATTCGCGGCGGCGTCGACCGCCCCGGACTCGAACCTTGGACCTCGGCGTCGAAGATCTGCTGGTCGTCATGTCGAGCCGTCACCCCTAGCCGGCCAGCAAAGCGTCGACCTAAATGATCTGGCGCGCATATCCCCTGCTCCTGCCGCCGCGCCAAAGTCAGGTGCTCATTCACAAGGTGGTCGAGGACGCATTCGCGAGATCGATCGACGCGTCAACTGAGCCCCGCAATTCCGAGCGATCACACAGCCACGCTGGACGTGATCACCAACCCGCGCGCCTGGACCCTGCTCTATTCGATCACCGCAGGCGAATCTCCACGCGCTGGAATCAGCTTCATGCGAGAATCGCACGGCCGCTTGCGCATTCCCGTCTCGGGTGTGACCCGCAGCGGCGCTACCCACTCCACCGAGTTCGCCGATCTGATCCAAGCACTCAAGGACGCCATGAATCCGTCTTTCACTGAGTGAAGTGTGATGGCGATCGACCCCTCACAGAGCAACGTGGTGAGCAACCATGTGATGCGGCGCGCGGTTGCATCCCTTTACCGAGGAGCAGCCATGACGCGTTTGCTGAGGCGACCCTGTGTGGGAATCGAAGATCTTCGACGGCGAATGGGTTCGCGGTAGCGCCGACGATCGTATTGTCGTCGAGCCGGCCACCGGCAAGCAGTTGACGACGAGTCGGCACGGCAACACCTGACGACATGGCAGCCGCTGCAACAAAAGCTACTGCGGCTCAGAAGGATTGGGCAGCAAGGCCATATACCGAACGAGCCGCCGTTCTACGCCGCGCCGGTCAACTGTTCGAGCAGTACGCCGACGAAATCGGCGAATGGGTAATCCGCGAGGCCGGCAGCATCCGGCCAAGGCCGGGCTGGAAACCCCATACCGCTGCCGAAGAGTGCTACAACGCAGCAGCTTTGGCCGCACCCTGTCGGAGAGGTTCTGCGCTCGGAGCAACCTCGGCTGAGCTTCCTCGTCGCGTACCCGTCGGAACCGTCGGCGTCATCGCGCCGTTCAACTTCCCCATCATTTTGTCGATCCGTGCAGTCGCTCCCGCACTGGCGCTGGGCAATTCGGTGATCCTCAAGCCTGACCGCGCACGGCGATCTGCGGCGGTGTGGTTCTCGCTCGCATCTTCGAAGAAGCAGGCGCCCGCCGGGTGTTCAGCATGCTGCCGGGCGGCGCTGACGCCGGTGAGGCAATCGTGGTTCATCCGAGCGTTCGCGTCATCGCATTCACCGGGTCGACCCGAGCTGGACGCGGGTCGGCGAACTGGCGGGCCGCTATCTCAAGCGCGCTCATCTTGAACTCGGCGGCAACAATGCGCTGATCGTCATGGATGACGTCGACCTCGAAAAGGCCGCATCTGTCGGCGCTTTCGGATCGTTCATGCACAGGGACAGATCTGCATGACCACCGGCCGCCAACTGGTCCACGAAAGTATCGCCGCCGACTACACCGCACTCCTTGCCGAACACGCCGACAAGCTTCCGGTAGGCGACCCGTTCACCGGTCAGGTCGCACTCCGGACCCATCATCGACGCCAAACAACGCGACCACATCCACTCTCTGGTCAACGGGAGCTATCGCGGCCGGAGCAAAACTGGCGCTGGCGGCACCTACGAGGATCTCTTCTACCGGCCCACCGTGCTAGCCGACACCCCACTGACCGCGCCGGCCTTCGCCGACGAGGTCTTCGGGCCAGTCGCACCGGTGACCTCCTTCGCCACCGTCGAACAAGCCGTCGCCATAGCCAACGATTCCGAGTACGGATTGTCGCTGGGCATTCTGACCTCCGACGCCATGCGCGGACTCGAACTCGCTCAACAGATTCCCACCGGCCTGGTCCACATCAACGATCAGACCGGTCGGCGACAGAAGCCGTCATCCCGTTCGGCGGCATGGCGTCTTCGGGTAACGGCGGCCATGTCGGCGGTATCGGTGCAAACCTCGATGCCTTCACGGAAACACAATGGGTGACGGCGCAAAGTGCACTCCGGTATACCCCTTCTAGAACGAATTCACAGGCACGTCCCACTCGGTCGCTGACCAGCATTGACGGGATCGATCTCGCGGACTTACCATCCAGAAAATTACTTCGCCACATTAAGCATTTTCTCTTGTTGTTCCCGAGAAGGACCCGTTGACGAACACAGTTACGACGAGCAGTGCCGCGAGCCCCAGCGCTACGCCAACTGCCACCGATTCCCCGGACCAGTCCGTAGCAAGATCGCCGCGCCGGGAGGCCGTGATCATCGGCGCTTTGAGCCTGGCAGCGATGATCGTCTCGATGATGCAGACGCTGCCGGTTCCGATCCTGGGACGGATTCAGTCCGACCTCGGAGCCTCTCGTCCGCCGGCGTCAGTTGGGTGACGACGGCGACCCTGCTTTCCGCTGCCGTCTTCACTCCCCTGCTGGGACGCTACGGCGATCAGCACGGCAAGAAGCGCACCTTGGTCGGCGTCCTCGTCGTCATGGTGATCGGTTCGATTGTCGCGGCATTGGCGCACAATCCTGCCACTAGCTGATCCTCGGCCGTGTACTCCAGGGAACAGCCACCGCGATCTTCCCTCGCACTCCTCGGTCTTGCGCGAAGAGATACGACCACAGAAGCTTCCCGGCGCCATGGCCCTGGTCAGCGGAACTCTCGCGTTCGGCAGCGGTCTCGCCCTCGTGGCCACGGGTCTGCTCACATCGGCTCCGGATGCCGACTACCGCAACGCCTTCTGGATGGCCACCGGATTCGCAGTACTGGCCTTGACGTTGCCGTCGCCACGCTGGTCCCGCCCACCACGCACAAAAGCGGTGGGCGCGTGGACCTCATCGGTGCGCTGAGTCTGGGCGCGGCACTACTTCTGCTTCTTCTGGCGATTTCTCAAGGCCACCAATGGGGGGTGGTTGTCGCCCTTGACCGTCGGTGTTTTTTTGTGGCCTCGATCGTGATGTTCGCAGTCTGGGTGTGGATCGAGAAGATCGTCGACGAGCCGCTTGTCGACATGCGGATGTTCGTCCACCGCCCGGTGATGATGGCAAATCTTGCCGGCGTCGTGGTGGGCTTCGGCATGTTCGCGAACTTCCTCGGGATCTCGTATCTCGCACAACTTCCCCGCGATCTCACCGGATACGGCTTCGACGCGAGCATTCTGCGTGCGTCGGTCGAATTCCTGCTGCCTGGCGCGATAGTTTCGCTGATCGCCGCCCCGATCGGCGGTCGTCTCATCAGACTCCGTGGGCCGCGATTCGTTCTGGGACTCACTGCGATCCTGGGCGCGGTGCCGTTTGCGTGGCTCGGCGTTCGACCACACGCACACCGCGTCGGTCATCAGTGCCTTTTGCGACCACACCTTTTTTTATTT